CCGTTCCCCAGACCTGAATCCAATTGAGCACATCTGGGACATCATGTCTCGCTCCATCCACCAACGCCACGTTGCACCACAGACTGCCCAGGAGTTGGCGGATGCTTTATTTTTTATTTATTTATTTTATTTAACCTTTATTTAACCAGGAAGGGCTCATTGAGATTTAAAATCTCTTTTTCAAGAGCGTCCTGGCCAAGATAGGCAGCACCAAGTCATTACAAAAAATTACAGACAGACAACATGAAAAACTACAAGTAATCTAGTAAAAACCATTCATGAATTCACAAGAGTATAACAATATCAAAAACAGCAAATTAAAAACATTGACAGGTCAGGGAATCAGCCTCAAAATCCTTCATCAGAGATTTAAAAACACCAATCGGGACAAGTTCTTCCAGTTTAAAATTATTTTGTAAGGTGTTCCAAGACAATGGCGCAGAGTACATAAAAGACCTTTTACCAAATTCAGTTCGGACATTTGGAACAGTTAGCAGGATAAAGTCCAGTGAACGAGGAGAGTACCCACCACATTTCTGAACAATAAAAATGCCCAAATAAAAAGGTAGTAAACCCAAAATGGCTTTGTAAATAAAAGTATACCAGTGACTGAGCCTACGAGTGACTAGAGAAGGCCAGCCAACCCTGGTATACAAAGTACAGTGGTGCGTAAGGGTTTTGCAGTTTAAAATAAATCTCAAAGTACCATGATAAAGAGTGTCAATTGATCTCAAACACTGAGCGGAAGCATTCATATATAAAATATCCCCATAGTCTAGTAAAGGCATAAATGTAGCTGATACTAGCCTCCTTCTGGCTTCAAAAGAAAAACAGGCCTTATTCCTAAAATAAAATCCCAATTTAAGCTTCAATTTTTTTGTAAGTTGTTGAATATGCAATTTAAAAGAGAGGCCGTCATCAATTAGAATTCCAAGATATTTATATGAGGTTACAACCTCAATCTCCTTGCCCTGACAGGTAGTAACAGGTGAAAGGTTCAGAGGTCTATTTCTTGCATTAGAAAACACCATTAGTTTAGTTTTGTCAGTATTGAGGATAAGCTTCAATTGACACAAGGTATGTTGAACAGTATAAAAAGCAGTTTGCAAGTTCTGGAAAGCTTTTGTAAGAGATGAGGCACAACAGTAAATAACAGTATCATCAGCATAAAAATGAAGTTGTGCATTTTGGACATTTTTGTCTAAATCATTAATATAAATAGTGAATAAGAGAGGACCAAGTACAGAGCCCTGGGGCACACCATTCAGGACAGACAATTTAACAGACATAAGCCCATCAAATTGAGTGCACTGAGTTCTATCAGACAGATAGTTAGCAAACCATGCAACTGCATGCTCCGAAAGACCTACACTCAACAATCTCTGCCTTAGTATAGCATGATCAACTGTATCAAAAGCCTTAGAGAGATCAATAAAAAGTGAGACACAGTGCTGTTTTTTGTCAAGGGCTTCAGTGATATCATTTAAAACCTTCATGGCTGCTGTAATTGTGCTATGCTTCTTCCTGAAGCCCGATTGATACATTGATAAAATAGAGTTAGTAAATAAAAACTCTTTTAGCTGTTCACTTACAAGGGTTTCAAGTATTTTCACCAGGGGTGACAGCTTTGAGATTGGCCTATAATTATTTAAAAGAGTTGGATCTCCCCCTTTTAAAAGTGGTAGGACAAATGCTGATTTCCAGATCTTTGGAATTTCATTACATTCCAGGGTTAGATTGAACAGATATGTAAGTGGTTCAGCTATGAAATCAGCTGCCAGATTTAAAAAGCAGGGGATCCAAAAGATCAGGACCTGCAGGCTTTCTTTGATCTAAGGATTTCAGGGCTTTATGAACCACCTGCACTGAGAATGGCAGAAAACTAAAAGTTTGACCAGCTCTCACTGGTTCATCCACACAGGGTTGTACAGAGACAGAGGACACTGGTTCATCCACACAGGGTTGTACAGAGACAGAGGACACTGAATCAAACAGCCTACCAGATGATACAAAGTGCTCATTGAAACAATTCAGCATTTCAGTTTTGTCATATATAGCAACAGAGTCCTTCAAAACACATGACGGTAATTCATTAACATTACTGTTACCAGACATAGACTTAATAGCATTCCAAAACTTTCTAGGGTCATTCAGGTTATCAGTGGTAACAGACATAAAATATTCAGACTTGGCCTTCCTGAGAAGAAAAGAACACTTGTTTCTTAACTGCCTAAAAATAAGCCAATCAGCATCAGAACAAGATTTCCTTGCTTTAGCCCAGGCTAGATTACGGTCGTGAATAATACAGGACAGCTCAGAAGAAAACCATGGATTATCCCGCCCTTTAACCCTGAACCTGCGGAATGGTGCATGTTTGTTTACTATTTGGAAAAAACCATCATGAAAGAATATCCAGGCAGTTTCCACATCAGGGATAAGCTCAATCTTGCTCCAGTCAAAATAAAACAAATCATGAAAGAAAGCCTGCTCATTAAAACACTTCAAATTTCTCTTACGAATAAAACGTGGATTTGTCTTTGGAACCTTAGTATTTCTAACAGCAACAACAGCACAATGGTCACTTAAATCATTACAAAAAACACCAACCGCAGAATATTTATGTGGAACATTTGTCAATATCAAATCAATCAGGGTAGATTTATCAGGGCATTTAAGATTTGGGCGAGTGGGTGAATTAATCAACTGGGTAAGATTCATAGAATTACAAAACATTTTTAAATCATCAGACACCGGCTTTAGTCCAGGTCTGGGAGGAGATCCCTCAGGAGACCATCCGCCACCTCATCAGGAGCATGCCCAGGCGTTGTAGGGAGGTCATACAGGCACGTGGAGGCCACACACACTACTGAGCCTCATTTTGACTTGTTTTAAGGACATTACATCAAAGTTGGATCAGCCTGTAGTGTGGTTTTCCACTTTAATTTTGAGGATGACTTAAATCCAGACCTCCATGGGTTGATAAATTTGATTTCCATTGATAATTTATGTGTGATTTTGTTGTCAGCACATTCAACTATGTAAAGAAAAAAGTATTTAATAAGATTATTTCATTCATTCAGATCTAGGATGTGTTGTTTAAGTGTTCCCTTTATTTTTTTGAGTAACCATTTTAGAAAATCATGGGACATATAGTCTTTGGTTGCATGCTATTTTATGTCAATCATATTGCTGCTATAGCCTAAATGATGCTTTGTGGTCTTATGCTACCATCTATTGGAAATATTTAGCAATGAAAAGTTATTAATTCACATAAAGACATTGGTGAGGCAGCTGAGAAATAAAGTGCATTTTTCTTATTAATACCTGAGATCAGTCTTAAATGTGCCCCACCTATCCCAGCCAATTGCTGGACTTTCACATAGAGGTTACTAGGTCACACCCAGTTCAAACCACATTTGAAATATAAAACGTAAAATGTGGCTTGTTTATCAAGTGTTCTGCCTTGCAATAATAAATATCATAAAATAACTAATAACAACAAAAAAACTGCAAAATGCTTACATAGGGTTTGATTTAAAAAATAATCAAAATTATATTTAGTACTATAATGGTATTTACTATCATAATATTATTACTAAAATAATTTCTAATAGTGTTCTAGGCTACCCTACCCAAGAATTAGGGCTAGGGTTTAGGGTTAAGGCTAAAATAGGTTATACCTATTGTTAGGGGTTAGGGCTAAAATAGGTTGTACCTTTTTTTTATTTTACCATTATTTAACTAGGCAAATCAGTTAAGAACACATTTTTATTTACAATGACGGCCTACACCTGCCAAACCCGGACAACGCTGGGCCAATTGTGCGCCGCCCTATGGGACTCCCAATCACAGCCGGTTGTGATACAGCCTGGAGTCAAACCAGGGGGTCTGTAGTGACGCCTCAAGCACTGAGATGCAGTGCCTTAGACCGCTGCACCACTCGGGAGCCCTACGGTTAACCTACGGTAGGTTATACGTAGGTTTAGGTTTTTAAGGCAAAAAACAGTATGGGTTTATAGCTCTCTTGCTCCTTCCTGTGGCCTTCTGTGGGTACTACATAACTCATTCGCGACACTTGCTAGGCTCATAGTCTGAGGTAGCAACTGCGTCAGATCTACAAACCAATGAGCTAGACCTATCCATTTGGTTTGCAACTCAGTGAATCTGTGCAGCATTTGCTCAATTCGATGCCTACAAATGAAGAGACTTCGACGCATATCAAATTACCCAGCAGCCATTTAGAAACAACAAATCGTCCAAAAAAAGGTTTCTTAATTTAAAAATTATTCTGGCTGTTTAAATCAGCCACATCTTGAAAAATAGGACAGAAACATACGTTTTGTTTAGGTTTACAAGGTTAACCATGACCAGAAAATGTTTAATGTTTGATGGCTTTGCGCCAGTCCTGTTGGGAAAGACATTGTTTAAAAAATGTAATGTATCTAGCCAACAACTTAAAGCATAGTTATTTTTTTCTATTGGTAGAAAACGCCACACCTTTGAAATTATACTTCACGAAAAACTCAATAGCCATTAAGGTAGTGGTTAAGAGCGTTGTGCCAGTAACCGAAAGGTCGCTGGTTCTAATCCCCGAACTGACTAGGTGAAAAATCTGTCGATGTGCCCTTGAGCAAGGCACTTAACCCTAATTGCTCCTGTAAGTCGCTCTGGATAAGAGCGTCTGCTAAATGACTAAAATGTAAATGTATGTCCTCTACACTACAGCATGGACTTGCTCCTTCTGTTGAGTCTCAGTTTAACTCTCATCGTTGCATTGCATGTGCATTGTTTTAACTTGGAAAAACATTTTGGGCAATATTCATTCATTGTGAATCATTATGTTTGCTTAGGTTTATAATAAAATCAAGCAGATTAGTAACATTACAGTTTTGATATAGCTAGGTTTCTCTGTGAATTGCGTTTTGGCACTTCACAGGACCCTCTGTCATTGGTAGCGGTCTGTCACTTTAAGAACATCCCTTGGTTTGAAATGCACTCCCCCTCACCAGCTGTCTAGTAATAATGGCGGAATGTCAAAAGTCTACCTCATGTCTATCTCCAGCTTCAGAAATGACCTCTCTCGCTAGAGCTTTGTCTCATTCAAGGTTGAGCCAACTTGATCAGTCTGATGTGTTGAAATCGCAGTCTTCTGTTCACCGGAGCAATGTGGCACAGCCAGGTCGACGAAGGATGTTGTCGAGCAGCAGTGTTGAGTCTCTGAATGTGAGCCCCTGTGGTGAAGCGCGGGTATTGGTCATCAACACCGGAGGAACAATCGGGATGATGTACCATAATAACGGTAAAGAGTTTTGGACCGGGACTTTTAGAATGTATTTGTTGTTGCCCAAACAAAGTACATTTATTTGATTTGAATGATGCTGTGTTGATGCAACACATTGATGGAGGAAACTTGCTAGCTACAGTCGCAGTTTACCAGGGGTGTATTCATTACACCGATTTTGTTGCAAAATGTTTCGTCTGTTACAACAGAAACCGTTTACTCCAAACGGAAAACGTTTGCAACGAAAACGAGTTTATATTGGTCAAATTCAGTTTACTCCTTCTGTTTGGTTCTTAAACGGTCAACTTTCGGTTGCAAGCCGTAATGAATACAACGCTGGCACGCAGGGTTCGCGTCTTGTGAGTTGTCAAATGTAACTGCTGTTTCTCTTGCTTTGTAAATTGTATCAAGGAAACACTTAGACGTAATTATCTACCTGTAGAACAGGGATTATCAACTAGATTCAGCCACGGATGGTCGGAGGGCAGAATATTATTAGAAATAATTTGCAGCTAATGAATAACTAGCTATGACGTACAAGATCAGTCAACAGCAGGACTCAGTTTCATAATATAATGTTTGTTAAGGGTACAAGACAACCAAAGGTATTGCATGCTTCAGTACTGGTTAACTGTCCAATCAGTCACAGTTTACCTAAATGATAGTGTTCACCACAAACCTTTGGCAGTCTTGAATATGAATTCGAGGAAAAGGTTAGATGAATCAGGAGCTTTCATCCACACCCCCTTACAAAAATAATTACATTTGTGATATAACACTGAAACTTTTATCTGCCCATCTTTTCGAGAGAGGGAAATATCAAATCCCTGTATTTGTATTTATTATGGATCCCCATTAGCTGCTGCCAAGGCAGCAGCTACTCTTCCTGGTGTCCAGCAAAATTAAGGCAGTTCATACAATTTTAAAAACATTACAATACATTCACAGATTTCACAACACACTGTGTGCCCTTAGGCCCCTACTCCACCACTACCACATATCAACAGTACAAAATCCAAGTGTACGTGTGTATAGTGCGTATGTTATCGTGTGTCTATGCATGTGTCTGTGCCTATGTTTGTGTTGCTTCACAGTCCCCGTTCTTCCGTAAGGTGTTTTTAAAAATGTTTTTAAATCTAATTTGACTACTTGCATCAGTTACTTGATGTGAAATAGATTTCCATGTATTCATGGCTCTATGTACACTACCTGTCAAATGTTTTAGAACACCTACTCATTCAAGGGTTTTTCTTTTATTTTTACTATTTTCTACATTGTAGAATAATAGTGAAGACATAAACTATGAAATAACACAAATGTGCAAAGCTGTCAAGGCAAAGGGTGGTTATTTGAAGAATCTCATATATAATTTTTTTTTTTTGTTTAACTCTTTTTGGGTTACATGATTCCATATCTGTTATTTCATAGTTTTGATGTCTTTACTATGATTCTACAATGTAGAAAATAGTCAAAATATAGAAAAACCCTTGAATGTGCAGGTGTTCTAAAACTTTTGACCGGTAGTGTAGTACTGTGCTCCTCCCATAGTCTGTTCTGGACTTTGGGACTGTGAAGAGACCTCTGGTGGCATATCTTGTGGTGTATGCATCGGTGTCTGAGCTGTGTGCCAGTAGTTCAAACAGACCGCTCATAAATACAAGTAGTGATGAAGTCAATCTCTCCTCCAGTTTGAGCCAGGAGAGATTGACATGCATATTATTAATATTAGCTCTTTGTGTACATCCAAGTGCCAGCCGCGCTGCACTGTTCTGAGCCAAGTCCTTTTTTTGTTGCACCTGACCACACAACTGAACAGTAAGTGTGACAAAACTAGGGCCTGTGGGACCTACCTTGTTAATAGTGTTGTTAAGAATGTAGAGCAGCGCTTTATTATGGCCATACCTCTCCCCATCTTCGCTACTGTTGGATCAATATGTTTTGACCATGACATTTTAAAATCCAGGGTTACTCCAAGCAGTTTAGTCACCACAACTTGCTCAATTTTCAAATTATTTATTACAAGATTTAGTTGAGGTTTAGGATTTAGTAAATGATTTGTCCCAAATACAATGCTTTTAGTTTTAGAAATATTTAGGACTAACTTATTCCTTGCCACCCACTCTAAAACTAACTGCATCTCTTTAAGTGTTGCAGTCATTTCAGTCGCTGTAGTAGCTGACATGTATAGTGTCATCCGCATACATAGACACTCTGGCTTTACTCAAAGCCAGTGGCATGTCATTAGTAAAGATTGAAAAAAGTAATCGGCCTAGACAGCTGCCCTGAGGAATTCCTGATTCTACCTGGATTATGTTGGAGAGGCTTCCATGAAAGAACGTCCCCTGTGTTCTGTTAGACAGGTAACTCTGTATCAACAATATAGCAGGTGGAGTAAAGCCATAACACATACGTTTTTCCAGCAGCAGACTATGATCAATAATGTCAAAAGCCGCATTGAAGTCTAACAAAACAGCCACTACAATCTTTTTTATCATCAATTTCTCTCAGCCAATCATCAGTCATTTGTGTAAGTTCTGTGATTGTTGAATGTCCTTCTCTAAAAGCATGCTGATTAGTTTGTTGTCAATTTATTTACTGTAAAATGGTGTTGTATCTGGTAAACACAATTTCCAGTAGTTTACTAAGGGTTGGTAACAGGCTAATTGGTTGGCTATTTGAGCCAGTAAAGGGGGCTTTACTATTCTTAGGTAGCGGAATGACTTTTGCTTCCCTCCAAGCCTGAGGGCACACACATTCTAGTAGGCTTAAATTGAACATATGGCAAATAGGAGTGGCAATATCATCCGCTATTATCCTCAGTAATTTTCCATCCAAGTTGTCAGACCCCGGTGGCTTGTCATTGTTGATAGACAACAATAGTTTTTTCACCTCTTCCTCACTCACTTTACGGAATTCAAATTTACAATGCTTCTCTTTCATAATTTGGTCAGATATACTTGGATGTGTAGTGTCAGCAATTGTTGCTGGCATGTCATGCCTAAGTTTGCTAATCTTGCCAATGAAAAAATTATTTAAGTAGTTGTCAATATCAGTTGGTTTTGTGATGAATGAGCCATCTGATTCAATGAATGATGGAGCTGAGTTTGCCATTTTTCCCAAAATGTCATTTAAGGTGCGCTATCATTCTTTATGTCATTTCTTTGTTTCATAGTGTATTTTCTTATTTTTATTCAGTTTAATCACATGATTTCTCAATTTGCAATACGTTTGCCAATCGGTTGAGCAGCCAGACTTATTTGCCATTCCTTTTGCCTCATCTCTCTCAACCATACCATTTTAAAATTCCTCATCAATCCACTGGGATTTAACTGTTTTTACAGTCATTTTCTTAATGGGTGCATGCTTATTATTAGCTGGAATAAGCAATTTCATAAATGTATCAAGTGCAGTGGGAAGTAAAGGCTTAAAAGGTTGAGACAGTCTGCGTCTCACATGGATAGGCAGACCATTCCATAAAAAAGTAGCACTATAGGAGAAAGCCCTGCCTCAAGCTGTTTGCTTAGAAATTCTACGGACAATAAGGAGGCCTGCATCTTGTGAACGTATGTGTAGGTATGTACTGCAGGGCCAAATCGGAGAGATAGGTAGGAGAACGTCCATGTTAGCAGTAAAATCTTGAAATCAGCCCTAGCCTTAACAGGAAGCCAGTTTTGAGAATGACACAAATATTAATTTTCACAAAGTCTGCTGCCTCAGTTTTTATGATGGCAATTTGCATATACTCCAGAATGTTATGAAGAGTGATCAGATGAATTGCAATTAATTGCAAAGTCCCTCTTTGCCATGAAAATGAACTTAATCCCCCAAAAACATTTCCACTGCACTTCAGCCCTGCCACAAAAGGACCAGCTGACATGTCAGTGATTCTCTTGTTAACACAGGTGAGAGTGTTGACAAGGACAAGGCTGGAGATCACTCTGTCATGCTGATTTGAGTTAGAATAACAGACTGGAAGCTTTAAAAGGAGGGTGATGCTTGAAATCATTGTTCTTCCTCTGTTAACCATGGTTACCTGCAAGGAAACACATGCCGTCACCATTGCTTTGCCCAAAAAGGGCTTCACAGGCAAGGATATTGCTGCTAGTAAGATTGCACCTAAATCAACCATTTATCGGATCATCAAGAACTTCAAGGAGAGAGGTTCAATTGTTGTGAAGAAGGCGTCAGGGCGCCCAAGAAAGTCCAGCAAGTGCCAGGACCGTCTCCTAAAGTTGATTCAACTGCGGGATCAGGGCACCACCAGTGCAGAGCTTGCTCAGGAATGGCAGCAGGCAGGTGTGAGTGCATCTGCACGCACAGTGAGGCGAAGACTTTTGGAGGATGGCCTGGTGTCAAGAAGGGCAGCGAGGAAGCCACTTCTCTCCAGGAAAAACATCAGGGACAGACTGATATTCAGCATAAGGTACAGGGATTGGACTGCTGAGGATTGGGGTAAAGTCATTTTCTCTGATCGATCCCCTTTCCGATTGTTTGGGGCATCTGGAAAAAAGCTTGTCCGGAGAAGACAAGGTGAGCGCTACCATCAGTCCTGTGTTATGCCAACAGTAAAGCATCCTGAGACCATTCATGTGTGAGGTTGCTTCTCAGCCAAGGGAGTGGGCTCACTCACAATTTTGCCTAAGAACACAGCCATGAATAAAGAATGGTACCAACACATCCTCCGAGAGCAACTTTTCCCAACCATCCAAGAACAGTTTGGTGAAGAACAATGCCTTTTCCAGCATGATGGAGCACCTTGCCATAAGGCAAAAGTGATAACTAAGTGGCTCGGGGAACAAAACATCAACATTTTGGGTCCATGGCCAGGAAACTCCCCAGACCTTAATCCCATTGAGAACTTGTGGTCGATCCTCAAGAGGGTGGTGGACAAACAAAAACCCACAAATTCTGACAAACTCCAAGCATTGATTATCCAAGAATGGGCTGCCATCAGTCAGGATGTGGGCCTGAAGTTAATTGACAGCGTGCCAGGGCGGATTGCAGAGGTCTTGAAAAAGAAGGGTCAACACTGCAAATATTGACTCTTTGCATAAACTTAATGTAATTGTCAATAAAAGCCTTTGACACTTATGGAATGCTTGTAAGTATACTTCAGTGTAACATCTGACAAAAATATATAAAAACACTGAAGCAGCAAACTTTGAAGGCCAATACTTGTGTCATTCTCAACTTTTGACCACGACTGTAGAGAGGCTAGCACTGGAGTAATATGATCTAATATTTTTCAGTTCTAGTCAAGATTCTAGCAGCTGTATTTAGCACTAACAGACGTTTATTTAGTGCTTTATTCGTATAGCCGGAGAGTAGAGAATTGCAGTAGTCTAATCTAGAAGTGACAAAAGCATGGGTTAGCTTTTCTGCATAATTTTTAGATAAAAGGTTTCAGATGTTTGCAGTGTTACTAAAATGGAAAAAAGCTGCCCTTTAAATATTCTTGATATTTTTGTCAAAAGAGAGCTCAGGGTCCAGAGTAATGCCGAGGTCCTTCAGTTTTATTTGAGATGACTGTACAACCATCAATATTTAATTGTCAGATCAAACAGCAGATCTCTTTGTTTCTTGGGACCTACAACTAGCATCTCTGATTTGTCAGAGTTTAAAAGTAAAACATTTGCCGCCATCCTCTTCCTTATGTCTGAAACACACGCTTCCAGGGTAGGCAATTTTGGGGCTTCACCATATTTCATTGAACTGTACAGATGTGTGTTGTCCGCATAGCAGTGAAAGGGGAGAGAGGGAGGGATCTTAAAACGGAATCTTGAGGAACACTGAAGGCTACTGTTTCCTGTATAATTAATTTCCTGGAAAGATTCCTTCGTGGGCCAAGGGAATGTGTTAACTGTGCTTTGGATCAAATGTTTGCTGAATGATATCTCTAGGCTAACCAGCCCTTCTCATTTCATTCAGGATCCACTATGGTACTTGGAGTAAACACTAGACCATAAGTAACATGGCCATAGTTTCTAGGTCTACTGGTTTTACACCATTCCAAAGGTTCTGTTTGGAAGTCCCAAGATGTGTCTTTATGCAATCCATCTAACCAATGGCTGGTGGTCCAATTTTCACAGGTCCTAATTTTAGTCAGCCAGTTCGTTCCAGTGGCTTGGACTCAGGTTTCACTCCTCTCAACTGCCGTCCCTGATCTCTCCCATTTGAAACACATGAGCAGTCATGTATCAGTGTTCCCTGCAGCCTTCTCCCACTCAGGCTACTTGGAGACTAATTTCTGGAAATAAGCACTCACTGGTAACTGATTTTACCACTGAAGACCCAGGCTCTGTCCTTGGTTTAGCATATTCTGGTGGGCTGTTGACCTATTATGAGTTATATAAGACATTTCCCAATACATTAATGATTAGAACTGTATTCTAAACAGCCTACTTTTTATATTGATGTGATTCTCAAGTTCGCCACTAGGGCTGAGTATAATACAAGGCATGATTTACTGGGAATGGTAAACCTGGGCCACATTTGGTAGCCAAACGTTATCGAACGTTGCTGTAGTTGAGGACTTGGTGGACTGTATATTCTGTAGGGTTAGGTTTTACCTAGCACTATGTGTTCTCTCCCAGGTGCTTGTAAGGGCACAGATGACAGACCGGTAGGATTCCAGTTGAGGTTGTTTAATGAAGCTAATTCACAGAGCAGTAATGGCACAGCACAGTGTATGGCCTGACAGTTGTGTTAACCAAGAGTTTGTGTGTTGTTATTTCTGAAGGACGCACACCGGCCTTGGCTAAACACTAACTAAAGGTAATCACAGGAGATGGCTGGAACCTATCACGGCTTGTGGACTTTCTCTAGTTACTTCCTTCTCCTCAGTTAGAGATCGCCCAGTATGCTGTGCTCCACATCACCGGTGGGTGGAGCTACAGCTCTCCTATGATGAACTGATATTTACTCTCAATAGTCTTTCATACAGTTGCAGATAGAAATGCCACGAATAGAGGTGACGTGAAACCTTATTCTACATGTCAGAGCGAGCGTGGGTTCTACATAGGAATATGCTATCTGAACACTCCAAAATGTTGCGTACTGCTACCCTCTTTTCAAAATAACACCACACTCAGATCTATGTAGGCTATTATTGGGCTCACCCTACCTGAACTCTGACTGATTAGTTCTGTTGCTCTGTACTTTAATGGCAACACCTTCTTCTCTCTCATCCACAGTGCTGTCCCCAGAGCCTAATGTGTTTGTGAAGGCCCTACGAAAGCTTCCCAACCTCCATGATGAGCAATATGCCCTGCAGACCCGTATGTACGACTACTACAGCACGAGTGGCCCACAGGAGAACACCCTGGTCCTGCCGTAAGTCACCCATACACCCCACCTCTCCAGGGCTCCTCTGCAGCCTTCTAGCCCTATTTCTGTTTATTCTCTTTCTTTTTACTTTGCCTTTGCTGTTATTAATATATAGGCTGGAGTTAAATGTTGACACGGTTTACTTTATTGTACAGTCTAAGTACAATCATTCAAACTGTGAAAAGATGACTATCCATGGACCACATCATCACTGTAGATTTAGACTAACGCAACCTTGTGCTATTTGACTGACAAACTTCAGATGGCGAGCTTGGAGTTAGATACAGATTATGATAAAATTCTAATAGAGTAGTAGTAGTTAGGCTATACCTGGTCTTGTGAAGGGGACCTCAACCTACCGGTACTACCGATACATTGTTCACGCCCTTACCATTTCTTTACACAGGAGATGAGTGTGGATTGCACTTAATAGATTAGAATAACTGCTTAATTTGACTGTCAAATTCAAACACAAGACCGACAGCTTTTATTTCAGGGCTTTTTCAACCTACAAGGCATACAGGCTTTTTCAAAGGCTCCTTAAATAGCAACATATTCTAGTGCATATCATGTCAGGATAACGGTTGAAATCCTCCCCCAAAATCTGTTCACTATGACATCTCCATAGCAGTTGGCCTACAGGATATACAATGCTTGGCTGGGGATATCATACACACGTTTATATTCCCTGCATGCCTGGGAACATGTCACTCTAAAACTGTGTGTTGTTTTGACAGGATGCCGACACACCACGCTGATGAACTATCAAAAGGGTCCTGTAGTACTGGTAGCATGCTGTGTGCCTGCGCTACGCTACGCTAAGCTGTGTGGTTTGAATCCTCTGTATCCGTCCCGCCTGGTAGAAATAGTTTGCTGTTGTTGTCTGTGTGGACCTGTCAGCGAGTGATCATAGGAGCACACACCTGCAGGGAGTTGTGCTGCAGCATTTCAGTAGCGGTGTTCACGCCTTTCTGATGTTCTACCCTTATTCCCTCTCTTCAGATACCTCGCCTCGCTCCTGCTGGAGGGAGCTAATCTCATTGGTTCATGTCTAGCTAAAAACAGTACAGCACAGTCGAGTTGTCATAACGTTTCTGTAATGTTACAGTAGCAACCCCAGGAGTTTTGCTGTTGCCAGAGAGGGAGAATAGACCTGCGAGGGGTTGCTGGTGTCACGCTGGCAGAGAGCGAGGTTCATCTCTGTTGAGCGTGTTTGATTCCTGTAGTCTGGGTCTCAGTGCGTGCCCTCTGCTGAATGTGGTTCTGGCAGGTCGGATCCAAGGGGTGCCGGCTATCGCCCCTCCAAATGGAGGTTGCCTGAGCCCAGGCCAAATCCCTCTCAGCAACCTCCTCTCCTTTCTGGGCCTGCGATGCCGGGGGCAGTGGGGGCGACCCTGCCTGACTGCACGCTAATCTCTACACAGACAATCAGCCCCTCCACCTCAAACCCACTCAGAGCAGCTCAGGACCACAGATATAGAGACTGGAGGGGGCAGGGTGGGGTCTGGGTTATAGGGGACAGATAAGAGAACAACACAAGCACGCTATTTTTTTAAAGCTAGTCTGAATGAGACTGTGTGTGTGATGGGGGGCTGGTGGCACTGTGCCTGCTTGGATCATGGTAATGTTTGTTTGGAGGACTTCCATATGTCACCTCCCTAGCCCTCTACTCCTCACCCCCTCATCGCTTCAACAGTCTCACAGGAGATTCGTAGGAAGTATGGATTCAGCTTCCGTCCCACAGACTAATTTATCAGTCTCATTAAGTTTTCATTGTAATTTCAGTAGTTGATTCCATCATCCTCCTTGCTTCTCTAAGGTTCATTTTCATTATTACCATCATTATGTTCCTTTTTGTGGGTTCAAGTTAATGTTGATTAACACATACTAGCTGTCACCAAACATTGCTAATAAATGTCCCTAATGCCTGAGTTATTTGGTTTTTGTTTTGTTTATTATGCTTTGCAGTGAGCATGTGCAGTGGACTTGAAATAACATTGGCAAAGCTAATATCATTATATCCTAACATTGCTTGAATTTTTTACATGGTGTGGCGTAGGAAATTGATTTATTGAACAGCTGAGTGAAAAGCAGTAGTGAGAGTCTGTGGGAATCCTTTACCCCAACCTCCCATTTGCCCCTCTCCCCTCCCACCACTCTGGTCCTCATCAGCAGGCTAGGCCACAGGACAACCCTCGATATGCTAATACCGATTTCCCTGCCACACCGTCGGCTACACCAGGAGATAAATTAATAATTGGTGACTTGAATATTGTTTCCAGCGGCACTATCAGTTTAAGATTATCAACAACATATGTTTGAGGATTGTGTGTGGAGCCAGGGCTAATTAGGGTGGTGTCTTTAGGCCTCTGGTTAGGTGCTGAGGGGTGAGCTCGCTACTGCCCCTGCTGTTCTATTGAACCCCCAACAAGGGGATGGTTTGTACCCCACCCCTGCCCTCCAGTGTCCTGTCCCGTGTCTTAAAAAGGGAGATTAAGGGGAAAGTCTTTGCACAGCTGCTTTAGCCCAGGCACAATCTCTTATTAGAGCGCTAGCAGGAGAACACGGGACGCCAACGTTATCTCCATCTAGAGGACACATTAATATGCATGGGAGGCCAGGATGAGCTGCCCCTGTCTAATTAGAACATGGGGTCTCGCTAAAACATGAACCCACACCTTTTCAACCCCCCCCCCCCCACATACTCCCAAAAGGCACCCCTTACCCCTCAGAATGCCCGCAAATTAGTAACTCCTCATACAACGTCGTAGCCTTCCCAGGGAGTGGCCCCCTCCCTCATCATACGTCCATAATTCACACCCAGCGCTTTGGAACTGGTTTGGGCACCCTGCTGCTGAAACAGAAGGCCCAACCAAATAGACTTTGTCTCGCTTCATAAAGTAGGATAGGCTTGTCTCACTCTTTTCCTTCCTTTATCCTCAGCCTTTTCCTCATGTAAACAGAACCGGGTCCAAGCCTTAATGAGTTTGTAAAGTAAACAGAACAACCAAGACAAAAAAAGAGGGGTGTCTCTACACCCCTAAAGGGATTTCCTTTTTAAAAAATGTAATTGCCGCATTTGCTTAACCTTGATTGTTTATGTGTCTCTATGTAAACTGTCTGCCCTGTTGTAGATGCACAGAGTTTCTTTGGGTGTGTTTTCTGTAGATTTGGTTATTATAGGATGATTGTGACTCAACTTGTCTTTTCCCAGGCTGTGTAAACAAAATAAGAGGATAGTGTACACTGTTTTAGAGTACAGCCCCTTGCTGGACTCTTGCAATATGACCACAGATGACTGGGCTACAATTGGGAAGGACATTGAGGTACTTGGTGTTGTCATTGTTTATCTTGCTCTTCACTCTAACATTAACCATAACCCTGACTTTAACCATTTGCATAAGCACATGCATTATGAAAACACAATCTATTGCGATAACAGAACAATCTCAAGTCATTCACTGAAGTAAAAGCCAGTTGTCCCTTTCCGTTTATGTAAATGTACTGTACTGGAGCTTTTGTAATGAATACAGTACTTATTTCAAGTAGCCTGTGGCAAGATGTAGGCTATACATTTTGACCTTGGAACTTTGATTCAAGTTTGATCCTGTTCTCTTTGTCTCTTGGTTCCAGAAACACTATGAGAAGTATGACGGTTTTGTCATCCTCCACGGCACTGACACCATGGCCTACACAGCATCTGCTCTGTCCTTCATGTGTGAGAACCTGGGGAAGCCTGTCATCCTCACCGGCTCCCAGGTACACCTGCCATCCTTACAGCTAAACTGCTTCATAAAGATAAGATAACAGAAGGGTGAAATGTTGTTGTTTGACCTCTTGCAGGTGCCGATCTATGAGATGAGGAACGATGGAAGAGACAACCTGTTGGGGGCGCTGCTGATCGCCGGTCAGTTTGTCATTCCTGAGGTGAGTAGAGGAGGGAGGGACACTTCTTGGAGCAGCACTCACACATACAGCTGCCTGCATGTCACCTGCACTTGAATGTGTGTTCATACTATTGTCCATGCTGTTGACGTGTGTGAAACTTTTTAGCCTGCTATGGTAATAAGGTGATACGACTGGCAATTTCCTCCCTGATTGATAAAGATGTGAGGGTGAACTGTGTTGACAGACAATAGGCACCAAAAGCCTTAAACCACTTGTCTAACAAGACTGTTCAGTAAAGCATGAATGTGTGAGTGTCGCAATACAGGACCTGAAACTGCCAGATGAGACTTCAGAGTTGTCAAAGCGTGTTTGTCTTTTAAGAGTCACAGAATAACAAATGTACACACTCTCTGGGACCTTTATATAATGCTGTATCTATAGTCGTGGTCAAAAGTTTTGAGAATGACACAAATACTAATTTTCACAAAGTCTGCTGCCTCAGTTTTGATGATGGCAATTTGCATATTCTCCAGAATGTCATGAAGAGTGATCAGATGAATTGCAATTAATTGCAAAGTCCCTCTTTGCCATGAAAATGAACTTAATCCCCCCCAAAAATGTCCACTGCATTTCAGCCCTGCCACAAAAGGACCAGCTGACATCATGTCAGTGATTCTCTCGTTAACACAGGTGAGAGTGTTGATGAGGACAAGGCTGGAGATCACGCTGTCATGCTGATTGAGTTAGAATAACAGACTGGAAGCTTTAAAAGGAGGGTGGTGCTTGAAATCATTGTTCTTCCTCTGTTAACCATGGTTACCTGCAAGGAAACACGTGCCGTCATCATTGCTTTGCACAAAAAGGGCTTCACAGGCAAGGATATTGCTGCTATTAAGATTGCACCTAAATCAACCATTTATCGGATCATCAAGAACTTCAAGGAGAGAGGTTCAATTGTTGTGAAGAAGGCGTCAGGGCGCCCAAGAAAGTCCAGCAAGCGCCAGGACCGTCTCCTAAAGTTGATTCAACTGCGGGATCGGGGCACCACCAGTGCAGAGCTTGCTCAGGAATGGCAGCAGGCAGGTGTGAGTGCATCTGCACGCACAGTGAGGCGAAGACTTTTGGAGGATGGCCTGGTGTCAAGAAGGGCAGCGAGGAAGCCACTTCTCTCCAGGAAAAACACCAGGGACAGACTGATATTCTGCAAAAGGTACAGGGATTGGACTGCTGAGGATTGGGGTAAAGTCATTTTCTCTGATCAATCCCCTTTCCGATTGTTTGGGGCATCTGGAAAAAAGCTTGTCCGGAGAAGACTAGGTGAGCGCTACCATCAGTCCTGTGTTATGCCAACAGTAAAATATCCTGAGACCATTCATGTGTGAGGTTGCTTCTCAGCCAAGGGAGTGGGCTCACTCACAATTTTGCCTAAGAACACAGCCATGAATAAAGAATGGTACCAACACATCCTCCGAGAGCAACTTTTCCCAACCATCCAAGAACAGTTTGGTGAAGAACAATGCCTTTTCCAGCATGATAACTAAGTGGCTCTGGGAACAAAACATCAACATTTTGGGTCCATGGCCAGGAAACTCCCCAGACCTTAATCCCATTGAGAACTTGTGGTCGATCCTCAAGAGGGTGGTGGACAAACAAAAACCCACAAATTCTGACAAACTCCAAGCATTGATTATCCAAGAATGGGCTGCCATCAGTCAGGATGTGGCCCTGAAGTTAATTGACAGCATGCCAGGGCGGATTGCAGAGGTCTTGAAAAAGAAGGGTCAACACTGCAAATATTGACTCTTTGCATAAACTTAATGTAATTGTCAATAAAAGCCTTTGACACTTATGGAATGCTTGTAATTATACTTCAGTATACCATAGTAACATCTGACAAAGATATCTCATAACACTGAAGCAGCGAACTTTGTGAAGACCAATAATTGTGTTATTCTCAAAACTTTTGACCACGACTGTAGAGAATGTGCTGCTATCGATAAAGATGGAATGATACATTTTAAATGAAGAAATTAGGAAAATGTGATTTGTAATTGTTTTATCAATGGGTCTGTCATATGCTCTGTTAAATCAATAGCACACAATGGCCAGGCTCTAATTTACCTTAGCATTGTGACTGTTGAAGGGAGTGTACACTGAGTGTACAAAACCTTAAGAACCCGCTCTTTCCATGACAGACTGACCAGGTGAAGCTATGATCCCTTATTGACGCCAATCAGTGTAGATGAAGGCGAGGAGATGGTTAAAGAATCATTTTTAAGCCTTGATACATGGATTGTGTGTGTGCCATTCAGAGGGTGAACGGGCAAGACAAAGTGCCTTGGATCGAGGTATGGTAGTAGGTGCCAGGCGAACTGCAACGCTGCTGTGTATTTTACACTCAACAATTACCCGTGTGTATCAAGAATGGTCCACCACCTACATCCAGCCAACTTGACACAACTGTAGGAAGCATTGGCGTCAATGGGCCAGCATCCCTGTGGAACACTTTCGACACCTTGTTTTGTACACTCAGTGTATATACTATACCACTAGTACAGGGGTAGGCAACCCTGTTCTGGAGTGCCGCAGGTTAAATAAAAAACAAGACGTGCCTGAATGGCACGGCTGAATGGCACGACAATGGGCCTCAGGTTCTCGTCATGGTATCTCTGTGCATTCAAATTGACATGAACACAATTGTATTTTGTTAGTTGTCCATAGCTTATGCCTGCCTGCCTGCCCAAACCATAACCCCACCTCCACAATGGGGCACTCTGTTCACAATGTTGACATCAGCAAACCGCTCGCCCACACAACGCCATACATGTGGTCTGCAGTTGTGAGGCCGATTGGTAGTACTGCCAAATTCTCTAAAACGACATTATGGTAGAGAAATGAACATTCAATTCTCTGGCAACAGCTCTGGTGGACATTCCTGCAGTCAGCATGCCAATTGCACACTCCCTCAACGTGAGACATCTGTGGCATTGTTGTGACAAAACTGCACATTTTAGTGGCCTTGTGTCCCCAGCACAAGGTGCACCTGTGTAATGATCATGCTGTTTAATCAGCTTCTTGATATGCCACACCTGTCAGGTGGATGGATTATCTTGTCACAGGAGAAATGCTCAGTAACAGGGATGTAAACAAATTTGTGCACAACATTTGAAAGAAATAAGCTTTTTGTGCATATGGAACATTTCTGGGATCTTTTATTTCAGCTCATGAAACATGGGACCAACACTTTACATGTTGCATTTATATTTTTGTTCAGTGTATATGCTTAAGAATGATGTCTTATGAGGTTTCATTCATTCTCCATCTATGTCTCTAGGTTTGTCTGTATTTCCACCACAATCTGTACCGGGGGAACCGTGTGACCAAGGTGGATGCTGAGAGTTTCAATGCCTTCAACTCTCCTAACCTGGCTCCTCTGGCCAACGCTGAAGTGGACATTAAAAGTAATCAAGTGGTATAATACGGTGTCTGACCTGTTATGTGTTCATATCTATATCAAGTCAAATCTTTGATGTGGCCGATAGATGGATGTTTTCACTGAACTCTTTCTCTCTCCCCTGTAGTTAACTGGGACACTGTGTGGAGAGCGAACACGACCGCACGGTTCAGAGTGAGCACTCAGATGAACCGTAACGTGGGTCTGCTGAGACTCTTCCCAGGCATCACTGCAGTTACCGTAAGAGGCTTCCCAGGGTGGGGGTGAGAAGGGGTGGATAGTGGCTCTGCCCTGTGCCTGTTGCCCCTTCAACCACATCATTACATCACTGTCTTCCTACTTCTGATATACTGTAATAGTGAAAGAGTAATACCCTATTGTAGAAAGACTCAATCAGAACAGCCATTTGGGGCCATATTTATCGAAAACTCTTCATTATAGCTCTGTTGTCGTGAATCCTCTCATGCAGGTCCTACTGTGTTTTCTGACGAGCCAGCATCGTGTGGGCGTTCCAAGTGGTCTGCATACAGCCGGGAGCTGCTTTGGGGCTGCCAGCAGCGTTTAGCCCAGTGAAAAATGAGACTGGGTTATGGGGCATGTCCAATTACCCACTAAAGACGAGCGGCTTGGCACAGATACTTAAACACTTAGATACGCCTCCCTCGCTACAGACTGAGGGGAGGATGGCTTTACTGTCTCAATCTGGTCCCTCTGCCGACGCTGGCCATGATGCTTTGTTAATCTGATTTTATTATCTGCTTCTTTGATTATGCTTCAGGCTCTCCTCTGCCTTCCACGGTCTCTGCCAGCATGGGGTTTATTTGGGATTCTGTGTCGCACACATTTCTGGCTAGCTAGCCGCATGATCCGAAATCCAATGGAAGATATCGGGCCATGCCCAGCTCTTGCTATGATTCCCTCCCTCCACAAGGTAGATCTATGGTCCGTTGCCAGATGAAATGATGCTGTCTCTGAACACCTTGAAGTTAATGGTTCCCCCTGCCTGGCCATTTGAGCCATCTCCTCTCCAGATGCTATGGCTGGTGTTGTAAAGAGGTCTCCTAGAGCCAGTGAATCACCTTGAGACTGAGAGACAACCCGGGTGGCATAGGCACCAGATGGTCTGGAGGGAGAGGGGGGAGGGGTCTGGGCCGGTTGTTAAACCCGATCCTAGCTCCGTACACTCCTCCTTTGTCCACAAGCCAGACTGAAATGGCCGCTCATCTCTCTCTCGCTCTGTCTGTCTCTGTGGGTGTGCAGGTGAAGTCCTTCCTGCAGGCGCCCATGGAGGGCATCGTCCTGGAGACGTATGGTAGTGGAAACGCCCCTGACAACCGTGCTGACCTGCTTGAGGTGTTCCAGAATGCCACAGAGAGGGGCGTGATCATTGTCAACTGCACCCAGTGTCTGAGGGGTTCTGTCACCACATCGTACGCCACTGGAAAGGTAGCCCAGAACACTGTTCAGTGGGAGTGGGAGAGTGCACATGATGTGGATGGATGTGTGTTAACATGTCTTCCTGGTCCCCTCAGGCCCTGAGTGACGCAGGGCTGGTGGCAGGCTGTGACATGACTCCTGAGGCTGCCCTGTGCAAGCTGTCCTACGTGCTGGCCAGGATGGACCTCAGTATAGAGGCCAAAAGAAAGGTAGGAGTCCCAGTCTAAACGCACTCATTACCTCACTACACTTTGTAGGCCCCTTGTAGAAAAGCTTTTGAAGCAAATGTCAACCCTAGGCTGAACTTTAGAGTGACACCTGTGTTAGTCCTATTTAAAGAAGAAAATATCACAAGAATGTTAACGGCAATAGATGGCAGAGATTATTCACATGCGGATAAAGGTCATAGTGACATGATGGTGTAATCCTTGATCATGCTTGTCTGTGTTGACTGTGTTTGTGTGTTATCTGTCCTTTGTTGTCTCTGTTGTACTTGTCCAGATGCTGAGTCAGAACCTGCGGGGGGAGATGATCGCTGACCTGCAGGGGGCCAAGCTCACTCTGAGCGACAGTCGCTTCATCCAGGTCATCGCCAAGTCCCTGAGCATCAGCTGTAAGGAGGTGAGGCCACCGCACCGCCGGCCATTTCCCACACATCTCACCCACACTGTCACCACCACTGAGACTGCAGGGTTACTTTCCACCTAACAGGTTTTCATCGGCCTCTGGCTAATCTGACGGGACAGAGCTCCCATTGAAGTACAAATGCCCAGCGGTAGGGTTTTTTCCAAAGTGGTAAATCCAACTTTATAGCGTATTTTTATCGGCGTCACCTTACGACACGTTACATAAAGCATTCCTCTACTGATTCTCAGTCTTTGTATTGGCATGACACCTGATGGTTTTTCTGCTTATGTTTCCAGGAGCTAGAAGCCGTCCGGGATGCTCTGACCCCCACCTTAGCTTGTGCCGCTTCTAAGATAGGAGACGTGGAGGCCTTGGATGCCATAAAGGAGATGGTGAGGAACATTTACATAAATACAACCATGTCTGTTAGTAAAAATAATCACTGCAACAACTGACCTCAAATACTATAAGGGGGGGGAGAAGAAAACCCCTGTTCTAACGGCATGATGACAGGACTGTAGGACAGAGTTCAAACCATATGTTTGTGTGTTATAAGACACGTTTCCATACTGATACCACAGACTTTGCACTGTACCATGAACGTCACATATGTTATGATGACCTGACTGGTTCTGCTACATTCACTGGCTCAATGCAGATAGATGCCTAGTAGCCTGAATTACTCTCAACGTCCAATGTTAAATACCAGTTCTATCTATTCTGGATCCTCTCTGAAGAACGTGTTCTGCTAGCCTGCTTGGTGAAAAGAAGACCGCATATTTGGTCTTCTTTTACCAGACCCTTATGATGCGGGTCAATTTGACCCAGTAGTGAGTTTAATGACACTGAAATACTATTTAACTTAATTTCTTCACCATGACCCCTCATCTAGTCCTCTAGGTAGGGTTAATGAACTTGTAAAACAAAACAAAAACTCTGTATTTGACCTTTGTGCTATAGCCAAAAAAACATGTTTTGTGCAGTAAAGGTCTAACCATGACTATCACAAGAATATAAGTATGTTTTCCCTGTGATGTTCAGAGGCCGATGGACAGTGATGTCAGTTTGGCTAAAATTGAGCTTAAAATGTCAATATGATTTATGACTTTGGTATATATATCAAACATTTGGCTCTACATTTTGAATAGTTTGGTCAATCAACTTAGCAAAAAGAGCATATGAAAGAGGACATCCTCAACTACTGAAAATCCATGTTTGGAGGTTAAAATCATGTATTTATGTACTTACTGAATTTAGTGTATTGGGTCAAATTGACCCAGAACATCATCAGTGTATAGGGTGAAAGAGACATGTATGCTTGTGTTACTCCCTCAGTCCCATGCTACAGTTGGTTGAACCGGTCAGTGCAGTGCATACCAAAGATACCTGCTGAGCTTCATCAAATGGCAGACAGTAAACTCAGTAGTCATACTGTGTTAGATGTAATGATTGATTTTGATATGGCTTGCTTTGCAGTGAACTTTTGACATGAGAAGGATTTGCCTAGTGTTTCCAGTCAATTAAATGTTCAATAACCCACTTATTTGGGAATTTAGCTTATTTTATAGGGGGTATATTTAAGTACAAAGGCCTGAGGGGGTGAGGTATATGGCTAATATACCACAGCTAAGGGCTGTTCTTATGCACGACTCAACGCAGAGTGCTTGGACACAGCCGTTAGCCGTGGTATATTGACCATATGTCACAAACCCCAAGGTGCCTTATTGCTATTATAACCTGGTTACCGATGTAATTAGAGCAGTAAAAATAAATGTTTTATTTTCATACCTGTGGTATACGGTCTGATATACTACAGCTGTTAGCCAATCAGCATTCAGGGCTCGAACCACCCAGTTTATAATTCCGTATGAATAGAGGAATGGGTTGGCTACGCTTTAAATGAAATGATTTATCATTTCGAGATGACTGTCACCGTTCAGAAAGATGTGCACCAGGTCAGTGTGGCGCAACATTCACTACATGGGATTAATACATCAATACTGTTTTTATAATACAGTGTTACCATGGCACTGTAATATACAGTATGAGATGTGTTTCTTGTCATCAGGGCAGTAACCTAAGTCTGGGGGACTATGATGGACGCACCCCTCTGCACGTCGCTTCCTGTGAGGGCCACCTCAATGTGGTGCAGTATCTACTGGGCCAGGGCGCCACTGTCTATGCCAAAGATCGCTATGGGGACACACCCCTGCGCAATGCTGTGCGCTTCAGGTAGGATTGAGCTAACATGTGGGCCAAGACAAGAGCTTTACATTTTGGGGGGGCTGAGCGGCATTGAGGAATAGAGGGATGGAGTTGGGGAAATGGAGTATTATATGTCCTTAAACGCTTTGCCTCTACAGTAGATGTTCACCCATCCCTTATGATTCAAGCCCCCAGTAGCCAATTCTAACTGACAGCTTCTATCTGCCCAGGGAGGGGGGTGTGCATCACACAGTAATGATCTCATTCACACATAATTAAGTGGGGCATTTGAAATCCACCAGTGGCCATTAACAACCTCCTTATATTTCCATGGCAGTCTTTAGAGGGAATGGTGTACAAACATTAGGCAGTTAGACTGCAGGTCATTACAGTGTCTGAGGCAGGGAGTCTGGGCCTGCTAAATGACTATCATATCCAGAAGGGGAGGACTGCTACTGGGGCTCTCAGATGGGGGTTGAAACTAGAGGAGTTCTGATGGAGTTTAGAGGCCACCACAATAATTAGCTGCTAATTGTAATCTGCCAGTATTTATATTTACCCAAAACTGTAATTTTCATGTTTTCTTTATCATTCATTGACATTGCCGTGTGCTCATCGCTTGGGGAGAGTAAGACATTCAAGGCTGCAGTCTTAAGTATCATGCTGTGGGTGCCTCAAGGAGAAATACACAAGTGTGTGTGTGAGAGCACTGAGAAAGGTGGCTGTAAACCGTTGGCAGGGCAGGCACAGGCATGCCCATGTTGACTTGGTACTGAAGGGCAGAGGGTTGCAGAGTGGGACTTTCAACCTGGTAGCATAATTCACCTCAGACACCTGTCTGCTTGGGGAAATAGCAATGTCCCATTCTGGCTCTCTTACACAGTCAAAATCACTAAGTCTCTGTGATAATGCAATATCTTCCATTTTGGAACAGTTACAGTACTTGCAATAAAGAACAATTGATGGATACATTTTTTTTGGGAGGGGGCTTTATGCCATTTTAAGTTTAAACCACATTTCAATAGCCACCTATCGCTCCTTCCTGATGACCAAATAAGGAGTGAAACTGAGTGGAGTGTCTTGAACCAGTCTTACCCGCCTGTCCTCAGTTTAATTGATGATAGGTTCCCCTGTAGCTCAGTTGGTAGAGCATGGCGCTTGCAACGCCAGGGTTGTGGGTTCGTTTCCCACGGGGGCCAGTATAAAAAAAAAAATTATGCACTCACTAACTGTAAGTCGCTCTGGATAAGAGCGTCTACTAAATGACTAAAATGTAAATAAACTGTGACTAGTCTCTAACTAAAGGACTGGAAATACATTAGCCTTGTTTTGCCACTGTCTTTACAGCCAAACCTTATCTCAAAGTAGAGCTAAATGTGCATGACCAACTCCCAACGTAGTGTGTGCATTTAACCTCTTAAACATTTCACAGATGTTCTTAGTTTCAATTCTATGTCCCTGGTTCTGGCCATCTTTAGAAATGTCTGTGTTTGAGGAGTGTGCCAAGTTGGCGCTGCCTTTTGCCCCCACCATTGTGTATTGTATCATTGGAGCTGCTGAGACGTTCTGTTAAGACTCCATGCGTGGGTGGTTAACTGGAACTTGTCCATACTCGTTTAGCACCCAGTCACAGTTCCATAACCGGTCACTGTCAGCAGATACTCTGAAAACTAGAAATATGACTAATGCACATTGCAGTCATAATAAATCATACCTCAAACAATGGATCAGTAGTGTTCCACCTAATGGTTTCAGTTGAATTCTGACTCACACTTTGTGATGTTGTTTTCACCTTGATTCTAGTACACTGTATAGCATCTGTATTTGAGAAGGGTCGGTCATATCTATGAGTGTGTGTCTGTCCATCCAGACACAAAGAGGTGGTGAAGCTGCTGAGAAAGACAGGAGCCCATTTCTCCATGGATGAGCTGGAGGATGCCGGTTCAGAGCTGTGCAGGTGAGAAGCACACAGCACTTTCTCACACATGCATTGCCCAAAGACTCATCCTGCATAGTTTGTGCAGGTACGACCAGTTGTCCCAGTTGTCTTGAGTAAACACTTGGAATGCTCTCTGACCACACAGCTTCGGACCTCTGCAGCATCCAAACATAACCACCGTAGAACCCTGAATTGCTCTGTTTGGCTGATATCCTCACTTTTAGAAAATATCGATTTTGTCCGTTACTGGAGCAAGGCCTTTGCCTCTGGAAGCAAACAAGCATACTCATAGTCCTATTCAGAATCAAGTAGTGTGGTTAGTCTAAGATTATACTATAAAACCTGATGTTATTACTGTAGATATCTGGTTGCTTTTTAGTCCCTTTATCATGAAACCTCTTGAATATGAACCCTCCCAATGAATTATCTGGTGGTGTGATGCAGTCTGGCAGCCAATGCTGACATCGAGGGCCTGGAGATGTGGCACCTGGCCGGGGGAGACCTGGACATGCCAGGCTACGACGGGAAGACGCCGATGGAGGTGGTGAGTGTTTGGGACTGGGAGCCTCTCTCCAACTTACAAACATGGATAGTAAAGGATGTGTAGGGTAAAGGTAACCCAGACTAGTTATGTAACATGGATAGTAAAGGATGTGTAGGGTAACGGTAACCCAGACTAGTTATGTAACATGGATAGTAAAGGATGTGTAGGGTAAAGGTAACCCAGACTAGTTATGTAACATGGATAGTAAAGGATGTGTAGGGTAACGGTAACCCAGACTAGTTATGTAACATGGATAGTAAAGGATGTGTAGGGTAACGGTAACCCAGACTAGTTATGTAACATGGATAGTAAAGGATGTGTAGGGTAACGGTAACCCAGACTAGTTATGTAACATGGATAGTAAAGGATGTGTAGGGTAACGGTAACCCAGACTAGTTATGTAACATGGATAGTAAAGGATGTGTAGGGTAACGGTAACCCAGACTAGTTATGTAACATGGATAGTAAAGGATGTGTAGGGTAACGGTAACCCAGACTAGTTATGTAACATGGATAGTAAAGGATGTGTAGGGTAACGGTAACCCAGACTAGTTATGTAACATGGATAGTAAAGGATGTGAAGGGTAACGGTAACCCAGACTAGTTATGTAACATGGATAGTAAAGGATGTGTAGGGTAACGGTAACCCAGACTAGTTATGTAACATGGACCATTAGGTTTTCTTTTCCTCCTCTCTCTCTTAGGCTCAGTCTGTGGGGAATGAAGTTGTGATGGAGTTCTTACACCAGGTCAGCCAGTACCATGCCAAGGTAAGAGTTGGACTATGATCTAGCTTTACTGTTAATCTCTGCACTCCTCCAACAGCGTTCATCTCTGCCTCAATTCAGAGAGCTTCTCTCCCCAACCTGAGCTCACTGAAATCAAACGGAGTGAATAATATTTTACTGTACCCGTCTTTGTCAGTTGATATGTCTTACAAACCTAAACCAGTTCAGCACACTGTATGATCCACTTTTTTTCTATCTTCAACTTGTTACAATTTCCCATTCATTTAAACACCTCCTAGTCACCGCTTATGTCTTGTGTTTTTCCCCGCATCAGTCAGATGAAAGTAATGAGGTAATCCATCTTTGGCCATTTTACTTTTCAACATGAGAATGAGTGTCATCTCATCCCTGTATTAACAGATTTGACCTAATTTGTATAGATGTTTATCAGATTAGCAATTTATTTACTACAACTAAAACATTACTACGATCCGTGCTTGTGAATAAATGGTGTGGCATGAAAGCATCCAAGAGGTAGCCTATAAATTAGATTTGACATATAGGCTAGATTTGAAAGTAAAACCATGTAGGCTGCAGAATAGGGACGTAGTTTCAACTTCGCCATGTGTTCCAATGACATGTTTTTTTTTGTTTACTTCCAGCCTCTGTTTGATGAAAATGATGAGGTAAATATTGTGGTTGTGTGTTTTTCCCATGTTGATTATGAGGTAATACTGAGGTAAGTGTAGAATGGCCACAGCTAGCTCTTTGGATTCTCCTGTGCTTGGTGGTCGTACCTGTGTCTCCTCTCATTGTATGGTGATGTGTTGCATCTCTGTATGACCTACATGAGTATCACTTGTTGTAGCCTGGCTTGAACAGGTGTTTTCCAAAATGGCTGCCAGGTTGAGTTCGATTAGACAGTGACACAAAACTTTGCAGTGTGGTAGTCAGCCTGGCTTTTGTGATTTGTTCCTGTGATGGCCTCTAAGCTGTGTTGTCTGGTATGATGACCGCTTGGCGAAGTTTCCTCTGAGATGCATTATGTGGATTAGTAGCAGAGATTGCGAAGCCAGCATTAATTTGATATCACCGCTGCTCTTTGTATTGAACAGTACTGCTAGAAAGTTTTCCCCTTGTGTGTTTCAGAATGGAGAGTACATTGAGTTCTCAGCCTGTCCAAAAGGATCCTGAAGAAGAAGATCCTCAGCTCTTACCTCTCCATCCATCCCCATCACTCTCTCTCCCCCTTTCCATTTCACTCTCTTACACTAGACATTTGCACAAGCTTGCAGATGAACAGATTTTATTTAGATTCATCCAAACCATTTACAATTTATATAGTTGCGATAATATCATGTACAGTTGGGAAACTGTAGTTGTAAAACAACTAGTAGCACAACATTTGATGTCAAGTAATATCTATGCACTGTGGCTAGAACGGGCACCACTATATCTGTATGTTTTGTATGTACCACAGTATACAATGTATGTGGAAGCAATTCGCTCTGTTTGCATTATCAGTGATTATTGTAAGCACAGGGTAGAATGCTGTACCTTTTACTATGCACTTGATGGGTAGAATGCTGTACCTTTCATACTAAGCATTTCATAACGCACGTTGAGTGCCATTTATTCTAAACGGAAATCATTGTGTGAATAACTGTTTGCCTAGATGTTTATAGTCTCACTTAGACTGCATGAATGATAAAAAAAATTCCCCACCTCCTTCTGAAAGTACAGATAACTGAGGTGTTTCCTGTTTGTGAAATAGGACAATCCGTCCCTCTATTCTGCTTCCACACAGCTCTCCTAGCATCCAAACCCAGCGTCCTCTATAGTTGATAAAAAGGTCATTTAGCAGATGCTTTTATCTAAAGCAACTTGCAGAGACAAGCTGTTACTCCCATCAATGTGACATTACAACCCACAGTGTCTTCTATAGTTTGAGTTGTGTACTTACTGGTTTCCCTACTCTAACAGCCTGGGCAGAGAGACAAATGTCATATAGCTCCCCTCTCTCTACTGGGATTCTCTGCCTCTGACCATATTACGGGGGCTGAGACACTGGCTTACTAGTGCTCTTCCATGCCGTCCCTAGGAGGGGTGCGTTACCTTGAGTGGGTTGAGTCACAGACGTGATCTTCCTGTCCAGTTTTGCGCCCCCTCTGGCTTGTGCGGTGGAGGAGATCTTTGTGGGCTATACTCAGCCTTGTCTCAGGGTAGTAACATCTGCTGATGTAAAAAGAGCTTTATAATATATATTTGATTGATTATCCAATAACTTACTCAGTGTTACGCTCCTCTTCTCTCTATGTTCATGGTCAATTAACTATTTTATTCAATTAAATGTCAATAACATTATCATCAGTATGTGTCAATCCATGTCATGGTTTTTGTCATGCATTTTGTACTTTTGTGTAACTAAACTCAGCAAAAAAAGAAACGTCCCTTTTTCAGGACCATGTCTTTCAAAGATAATTTGTAAAAATCCAAATATCTTCATTGTAAAGGGTTTAAACTCTGTTTCCCATGCTTGTTCAATGAACCATAAACAATTAATGAACATGCACCTGTGGAACGGTCGTTAAGACACTAACAGCTTACAGACGGTAGGCAATTAAGGTCACAGTTATGAAAACTTAGGACACTAAAGAGGCCTTTCTACTGACTCTGAAAAACACCAAAAGAAAGATGCCCAGGGTCCCTGCTCATCTGCGTGAACGTGCCTTTGGCATGCTGCAAGGAGGCATGAGGACTGCAGATGTGGCCAGGGCAATAAATTGCAATGTCCGTACTGTGAGACGCTTAAGACAGCGCTACAGGGAGACAGGATGGACAGCTGATCGTCCTCGCGATGGCAGACCACGTGTAACAAACACCTGCACAGGATCGGTACATCTGAATATCACACCTGTGGGACAGGTACAGGATGGCAACAACAACTGCCGAGTTACACCAGGAACGCACAATCCCTCCATCAGTGCTCAGACTGTCCACAATAGGCTGAGAGAGGCTGGACTGAGGGCTTGTAGGCCTGTTGTAAGGCAGGTCCTCACCAGACATCACCGGCAACAACGTCACCTATGGGCACAAACCTACCGTCGCTGGACCAGACAGGACTGGCAAAAAGTGCTCTTCACTGACGAGTCGCGGTTTTGTCTCACCAGGGGTGATGGTCGGATTTGCGTTTATCGTCGAAGGAATGAGCGTTACACAGAGGCCTGTACTCTGGAGCGGGATCGATTTGGAGGTGGAGGGTCCGTCATGGTCTGGGGTGGTGTGTCACAGCATTATCGGACTGAGCTTGTTGTCATTGCAGGCAATCTCAACTCTGCGTTACAGGGAAGACATCCTTCTCCCTCATGTGGTACCCTTCCTGCAGGCTCATCCTAAAATGACCCTCCAGCATGACAATGCCACCAGCCATACTGCTCGTTCTGTGCGTGATTTCCTGCAAGACAGGAAGGCCTGTGTTCTGCCATGACCAGCGACGAGCCCGGATCTCAATCCCATTGAGCACGTCTGGGACCTGTTGGATCGGAGGGTGAGGGCTAGGGCCATTCCCCCCAGAAATGTCCGGGAACTTGCAGGTGCCTTGGTGAAAGAGTGGGGTAACATCTCACAGCAAGAACTGGCAAATCTGGTGCAGTCCATGAGGAGGAGATGCACTGCAGTACTTAATGCAGCTGGTGGCCACACCAGATACTGACTGTTACCTTTGATTTTGACCCCCCCCTTTGTTCAGGGACACATTATTCAATTTATGTTAGTCACATGTCTGTGGAACTTGTTCAGTTTGTCTCAGTTGAATCTTATGTTCATACAAATATTTACACACGTTAAGTTTGCTGAAAATAAACGCAGTTGACAGTGAGAGGACGTTTCTTTTTTTTTGCTGAGTTTAGTAGAATGTATCATAACTTTATACTCTTCTGTGATTTTAAATGTATACATGTATGATGTATCTGAAGCACACAGATTTTTGGACAACAGGATGTTCCCTGTTCATTCCCTCTGTCACAAGTTTATCAGCTCCGGATCGTCAGCTGCCTTTGAAATCCTACATGCTGTTGCCAAGTTTAATGAAGTGCATTAGTCCATTTACTCATATATATATATATATGCGCATGCATACATACATACGCTACCAGTCAAAAGTTTGGACACTCCTACTCAGTCAAGGGTTTTTCTTAATTTTTTTACTATTTTCTACATTGTAGAATAATAGTAAAGACTTCAAAACTATGAAATAACACATGGAATCATGTAGTAACCAGAAAAGTGTTGAACAAATCCAAATATTTTTTATTTTACATTCTTCAAAGTAGCCACCCTTTGCCTTGATGACAGCTTTGTGCACTCTTGGCATTCTCTCAACCAGCTTCATGAGGAATGCTTTTTCAACTGTCTTGAGTTCCCACATATGCTTAGCACTTGTTGGCTGCTTTTCCTTCACTCTGCGGTCTAACTCATCCCAAACCATCTCAACTGGGTTGAGGTCGGGTGATTGTGGAGGCCAGGTTATTTGATGCAGCACTCCATCACTCTCCTTGGTTAAATAGCCCTTACACAGCCTGGCGGTGTGTTTTGGGTCATTGTCCTGTTGAAAAACAAATGATAGTCCCACTAAGCGCAAACCAGATGGGATGGGGTATCACTGCAGAATGCTGTGGTAGCCATGCTGGTTAAGTGTGCCTTGAATTCTAAATAAATCAGTGTCACCAGCAAAGCACCATCACACCACCTCCTCCATGCTTCACCGTGAATCCACACAGGCGGAGATAATCTCTTCACCTACTGTGTCTCACAAAGACACGGCAGTTGGAACCAAAAATTTCGAATTTGGACGCCTCAGACCAAAGGACAGATTTCCACCGGTCTAATGTCCATTGCTCATGTTTCTTGGCCCAAGCAAGTCTCTTCTTCTTATTGGTGTCCTTTAGTAGTGGTTTCTTTGCAGCAATTTTCATGCAGTCTCCTCTGAACAGTTGATGTTGAGATGTGTCTGTTACTTGAACTCTGTGAAACATTTATTTGGGCTGCAATCTGAGGTGCAGTTAACTCTAATGAACTTATCCTCTGCAGCAGAGGTAACTCTGGGTCTTCCTTTCCTGTGGCGGTCCTCATGAGAGCCAGTTTCATCATAGTGCTTGATGGTGTTTGCGACTTGAAGAAACGTTCAAAGTTCATGAAATTTCCGTATTGACTGACCTTCATGTTTTAAAGTAATGATGGACTGTCGTTTCTCTTTGCTTATTTGAGCTGCTCTTGACCTAATATGGACTTGGTATTTTACCAAATAGGGCTATCTTCTGTATACCACCCCTACTTTGTCACGACACAACTGATTGGCTCAAACGCATTAAGAAGGAAAGAAATTCCACAAATTAATTTTTAACAAGGCACACCAGTTAATTGAAATGCGTTCCAGGTGACTACCTCATGAAGCTGGTTGAGAGAATGCCAAGAGTGTGAAAGGCTGTCATCAAGGCAAAGGGTGGCTATTTGAAGAATCTCAAATATAAAATGTTTATATATTTAACACTTTTTTGGTTACTACATGATTCCAGATGTGTTATTTCATAGTGTTGATGTCTTCACTCTTATTCTACAATGTAGAAAATAGTAAAACATAAAGAAAAACCCTTGAATGAGTAGGTGTGTCCAAACTTTTGACTGGTACTGTGTATTTAAAGTTTTACAATATAAATAACTTTTTTTTTTGTTTTTGTTTTTTTTGTTTAGTTTTTAGTCACCAGTAGTTTCTGTGACCTCGCTTTATTGCTGTAAGAGGTTGAGAAGTTGCTAGGAGAGCTGGTGAATGTAATGCAGTTCATTTGTAAAACATGTACTTCAATAAAATACTTTTGTAGCCAGCATTGAAATCTGTATTGTGAAATAATCATGGGGAACATCAGGCTCTCACACAATGCATTCTCAGATGAAGTCTCAAAGAGCTTTCAATACTTGCCTTTCTAAAATATGCCAGAAGACAGGTTTTCAGGGACGCTTGCTTCCGTTCCCGAGTTTATTTGCATGTGGTGATGCTTTTCATATGAATTGGAGTATGTCTTCCTGTTATTGGACGTCATTTTAATTTACTAGCTAAAATCCCTGCATTCTCCCAAGGAGATCAATGTCAATAATAAGGGGTTGGAGCGGTACAGTACTCATGTAAACTACACACAGAGCCATACCCTGCCAATTAGACTGATAACACCCTTCCCCCTGTTGGAACAGCATAGGGGAGAAGTGTGTGTGTGTGTGTGTGTGTGTGACAACAATTCGATATGTTTGTATAATCTATGAATATGGATAAAGAATTATAATTCAAGACTACTGTTCTATTGCGCCTCAGAAAGTTAAGCAACCCAGGACACCCAAAAGTATGCTGCCTAGTGTTTGCCTGTATAATGTTGGCATCCATGCAGTATTTAATCTAGCTGTATTTATTAATCCATTAGACTATGTACTATAATAGGCTACATTTGTGTATACCCATCAGATAAATATTTAGCAAGGACTATCATTCTTTGTTTGGTACAGAGTTGATACTTCAGAACATTTCCAGCAATGTGCAGAGTGAGTGACTACACTTGGCGTCGTCATCAGGATGGCTGTATGTTGTACAGCATAAGTTGTCGGTGGAACCCAGCTCAGCCGGTCAAACCTGCATGGCCTACATTCCTCGCTGAATGAAAATATTGTATGAACCTACCCCCAAAACACTATATAAAGAGCTGCTGCTCACTGAAGTCACACAGGCACAGCATAGGCATGGATGGCTCAGATGAAACCTCCACTCACGGTAAGATCACTTTTGAAAATGTATGCCTATTTAGTTTAGGGCCTACTATAGTAGGCCTATTAAAATATGTGAAGGCAAGGCACTTAAGCCTAATTTCTCATGTAAGTGGTCCTGACTAAAATGTAAGAAATGTATTTTCAAACTGCTCTAAAAATATGAATTACTGGTGGTGTATTGCAGGCCTACAGTGATGGCTGTAAACTGAACACTATTATTTGTTTGTTGCATGTTGCAGACAGTGCTCTTTATGCCAGTTTGGACTGCGTGTGGCTACCTGAAGAAGTGATGCCTCCTTGTAGTTTGGTCTCTCTGGTGGAGTGGTTCTTAACAGTTCAACAGTTCTTTGCCAAAATTGTGAAATGTTTAGGACCACTTGATCAGGTGGACAAATACTTCCAAGGCAATAGATGGAGTAGCCTACACTGAGTATCATGAATCCTTGAGTATAGCCTAGGCTGATTAGATTATTAATTAAGAAGGGTGAATTAGACTGATTTCACACAATGTCTTTAACATGCCAGAAGTTTTGAGAAACGTGTTTTGTTTTATTTTTACAACATTGTAGCCTACATTTGTACACCAATGTTCACCTGTGTATTAACCTTATTTCAACAAAAAAACTATTAGAAATTAACAATAAACATTTCACTCAAAAAGGTTTAAAAAACATAGACATTTCAAGTATTATATTATCAGCTATGTACAGTGTTTTAGCAATGTGCAAATAGTTGTAGTATGAAAAGTGGGGGAAGATAAATAAACAGATTAATATAGGTGGTATTTACAATGTTGTTTGTGCTCCACTCATGCCCTTTTCTCATGGCAACGGGACACAAATATTGCTGCTGTGATTGCACATTGTGGTATTTACCCTAACAGATATGGGAGTTTATCAATGTTGGATTTGTTTTCAAATTAGTTGTGGGTCTGTGTGATCTGTGGGAAATACAGTCTCTCTCTGTCTCTGTCTCTCTCCTCTCGTGTGCCCCCTTGTGTTATTAATGTAAATAGCCTCGTTGTAGCCAACTGTTTCTGAAGTCCAGACCAACAGCGCCTTGGGCATGGTCGCTGTCCGAGGTGCTGAAGGAAAGGGCAAATAGGATTCCAGCCAGTTTCACAAATGTTCCGGTGAAGGATAACCATCTTTGTTGTTTCAGAAGGAGAGTACAATGAATAGGCTATTGATAACAAAATAAAGCATTCTCGACAAAAATAATTCAATTTTACACCGCTAGGAATAATGATACCAATGTTTCTAAGGGAATAACATTTGCTTTGTTGTATTGATGTATGAATCATTCATTAAAGTGCCATCCAAAGATTATTCTCTGCATCTAAGACGCAGCTTTCTTTCCTGTGTTCTCAGCAGTGCGCCAACAATATGACCAATATTTGGTAAATGGTTCTCATGAAGCCCTGTGCACTGCGAAGCTTAGCAAGTTGGATAAGATATTGAGCAGTATTAATGATATGCCCAGAGCGATTTCCCTACATGCTCAAGGGCAGCAGATGTAGGGGTAGTAGTCCCATGGGATGTGGTCCTTGGAATTTCATCAGCGGTCCGGGGTGACCCGAACCTTCTCCAGTGGGGAACTGGGTGGCGGTCGGACATGGTAAATCATCTTTACTACGGAGAGTAATTATCGGTCTTCTGAAGCTCCAGTGAATCCTTCCAGTTAACAAGACTAAGCTGTGGTTGTGTCTGTGTATTAGTGTGTGTTTGGGTGAGCGTTTGTTTGTTGTGGGGTGGGAAAGGCGCATAACTGGGTCACATATAGAGTTTATTATGGGCATCCACACAACACTAATAAGCCAACTGCATCATTTAAGCCACCTTGATATCCCTCAGGTTAATCTTGCCTCTAAATAGGTTTTTATCTCAATGAGACACACCTGAATAAATAAAGGTTGAATAATATAGACTACCCAATTCTTACATTTGAATAAACCCAACCATGAGCACACATAATTGTGTATCGAATTGTATTCTGCTCTGGCATAATGATGAAATACAATCTTAAATCAAACTTGAAAACATTCACACCCACCAAACTATATAGATGCTTTAAAGAGACATCTTCAAAGGGCGTCGGGTACCAATGAGTTTATTATGGCGTTAATGACTGGCTGCTTATCTTAAACAAGGTCCTCTGTGCACCCCAGATAAGAGAACAGCCCTAGTGTCCTGTGTTCAGCTTTCAAAGCACACAAAATAGACATGATCTACTTTGAAATTGCAGTTCAAACGGCTCTGTATTTGAAAATGCTTTGAAAATAAGACATTATTGTCTTTCAAAGTTTTTTTACATATTAAAATTTGATCTGGAACTGGAAGGCAGCTAAGCCAATAGCCTACATATATTAGCCTCGTAATGAATAGCCGCAAGCCACATACACGTGAGCGCAAGAGCTGACTCTGTGTGCAGTGCACTGATCAATTCAGGGTTTTCCCTACAAAATAGTTTCATTTAAAAAAACGAGAGGATCTAACTAAGTTAAATGGGTCATGGCACAAGTTTAGTTTCACCAAAGATCTCACACCGGCTCATTGGGAAGCTGTTAGATTACGCAGTTCTCTAGTGCGTGTTTGCGTTGATAAATGAATGTTGGAGCCTCTAGCAAGTCGGCAGTAAGCGCAGCAAACGACTGACTGACAGGGGAATTGCGCGACTGGGCGGGCGAGTGAGTGAGTGAGCGAGCGAGAGGGGTGGAAAGAGGGAGAGGGGTGTGGGACTGCAAAAGGTGGTCCTCCTTAGGCACATGTGATTTCGTTTCGAGACCTGCGAGCTGAAAGACCAGGCATGAGTCCAAGGATGGGTAAAAAAGTACTATACCTGTGGATATAAAGGTTTCGATTACGGATGGATTGTATTGGTTTATTGTCTTGCTGGACTGCTGGCCATGCACGGGAGAGATCTATTTGCGCACACGCCGCAATTATTGGGCATTGAGTGGAGTGGTCATGGAGAGACAGTGAGCTCTCTCTGAGTCATTGTTGGATGTCCGGAATAGCTTTTGGATCGAAATCATGCGATGTTTTGGGGTCTATGAAAATATCTCCTGAAATGGAAATGAATATACAAATATAGATGTCAATTCTGTAACCCGGAGCCTGGAATATTACGCACATTTCCCTCATGGCTTTACCAAACTCCTCGGGCTCATCTGGAGCTGACAAGCCCAACCCCAGTCTCATCGATCTGGGTACATTCTTCGTGGACTCTGATATCATATTTGGATTTACCAGTCATCTTCTGAGGAGAAAAGCAAAGGTGAGTGAGTGCACTCTAAATAGCTGTAACATACTCAAACATAAAATGTAACCTAATACACACCCCTAACTACCTTGAAAATTAAAATGATAATAAATAAGTAAGTTGATAGACAAAGTGACCAGTAACGCTACAACCTGGCTTTACAGGTAGACTAAGCTACAAAGTCAATTGTCTTGCATCCTGTCCATCTCAACTTGACGGGCGTCCGCTATTTCAGGACCATGAACAGCTCCCCTGATTGTCAGATGCGCCTTATCAACCATGGCAACTTCATAGCGTGATCACTGGTTGGATTTCTCTTCTTCAAAATAATTTCAACAAACAGAAGAGAGTAGCAGGGTGGATGGTGCTTTGTGGTCCCAAACACTCATTGCTTTAATAAGCAATGTGGCTACTGCAATCGCAGCGCTCATTCGCTGTGCGCTCTCTCTCCTGTTCAGAAGGCACCTAGCAGTGATAGCCAAAAATTAAGACTCGAAATCAATGACCACAATGACTGACTTGATTGGTCATAGTTTCAGATAAAAACATAATTTCCTTATTTATGACAAAATAGTCTAAGTCAATTTTGTATTTGCCTTTTTGGGTGAATAACTTATGTTATGTTTCATGTGTAATTGCAAAATAAACGTTTGGCAGTATTAAATTGGCCTCATTCTGTTAACCCCATAAGGACGCCTATAATTTGCTACCAGTTGCGCTGCCAAGCGTGAACCCACTCAACCCAGTTGACGACACAGACAGACAAAGGGCTGCAACTGGGTCATGTGAGGGTAGAAGGATCCTCAAAACGAAGCACGAAGCCACTGTCGCTTACATCATCAACATCAAATATTTAAAGTTGATTAATAAAATATTTAACCTGGCCCCTTATTTCGGAAAATCCATCCTGCAATCTGTGTATTTACCAGATGATGGCGCCAAAGTAACAAGAACGGGACGCATTTGGCTGTAAAGCTCAGTAGGTGAGGCTCTGTACTGTGCCCATTGACTTGTCTGTGAAGCAATATCAAAAAATGTGTCTGCTTGTGTGAGAAGAGGATACAACCATTGACTACAACAATCTAAAATATGAATATTTCAAATAATAATGACATTAGGCTATAGAAATAACTCAGTCATCTGCCTACTATCATGCTATATAGGATGAGGTCTGATACCAACAGGCTCAGAGACCGTTTCTATCCACAAGCCATCAAACTGCTGAACACTTGAACTGGACTGACCACCTGCACTTACTCTCTGCACCTTTGCACACATGCATTCACTCACTCACTCACTCACTCACCAAAAGTAGTGCACTGGGCTTTTACAACTCCTGTTTTAGCGGACCAGTATAGCCGTCTGCAGCGTGGGGAAAAACATGTTATTTCACAAAAGTAATGCACTGGGTCTTTACTACTCCTGTATTCAGGGCTGGTCCTGACTATTCTGATACAAAAATATTGCCCCCCTGCAAAACTAGAATAGTCTCAGTAAGCAAAATGATGTTGAAAAGATGTCTATTTTCCAGACATTGAAAGGGAATGGAATGGATTTATTTAATTGTAAATCAAAATGACTGTTAATGTTGTTGTTTTTTTACTACTCTCACCATTTTAGAATTTTGGCATTTTGACCGTGTCCCAGTATGCCAATCGCCTACTTTCAAACTGGGACACCCTGTTGGCCATTTGAATGCAGAAAAAATATTTCGGGTATTATGAAATACATGTTTTCTTAACAGAAATCAATTTTTCTAAATAGGATCAAATATTCAATTTCATTTTCCTCAAATCTGCTATCAGCTAGCTTGCTAGAAAAAGCTATCATAGCTGCACTTTACTTAGAAAGATATTACCTCACCAACATTACAAATCCTAGCTAGCTATATTCATAACCATACAGGTGTATGATGACTAAAAAAGTTTATTTTGCTGTATTTGACTGGTGACAATAAAACAGTCATTGAAATTGTTGAGGGGTAAGGTCTTTCTGGTTTCGTTCTACAAAATGTCCATTAGAGTGTAGTGTTGAGAATGTTGAGCTGATAGGCCTAGATGAAGTTCACTTTCTTTTATTTATAGGCTATACAATTACATAATCAATTATGTTGATAATAATAATAATAATAATAATAATAATAATAATAATAATGATATTAATAAATGATCATTCTTAATGTTCCACAAAAATAGAATGTTTTAATACATTTCATTTGTATGAATAATTGAAGTTTATCTTTAAAATAGTGAAATTACTCATATACTCTCTAATTTATCCTTCCTTACAATAAAGAATTAAGTGTCCCACTTTAACACTCAATGTGTGCCAATTTGCCAATATCGACTGATAAAAATTGGTCTCAGCACAATTTGTGTTTTTAAGAAGAGTCACCCCATCATGTGTTTAATATTTCTTAATTTTTTATTTTGTATAGTGTAGTAGAGTTATTAAGCTATTTAGAATGGTATCATGTTGGGCGTTAAAACAATGGGATGATTCTGTAAGGTGTTCTGGAAAACGATTTTTCAGAAAGTGTCCCACTTTACCAATACACCAATGTTAGATGTTAGATTACTTTTTTGACTGAATGTTGGTGGAGCCTGGCAGCAATGATTCTCTCCAACAACACCCTGGAGCGGCGCTGGGAATGGAAAAGCTAAATATTTTGGTCCCCTGCCATAGACAAAGTGGGCACTGCTTATCACAGGGCAGCATCAGCACTCACCTAAAAATCCCATATACCACTAAAATTCCCAAATCCCATATTCCATTCTCATTGTTTTTGGGCAGAATGATGTGAGGTTTTATGTGTTGTTGGAGGTGTGTCTTCGTCAGTTTAGCTCAGAAAAGCCCGCCCTCTTCAGTCTGCTGCCATAGGCGGCCGCCTAATCCTGCCTAATGAGCGGGTCAGCCTTGCCTGCATTAGCGACCGATGTAGCCCTCTGCAGCACAGGCAAAACAAATATCCACAAAAGAAGTGCACTGGGCCTTTACTAGTGCCCCTTTATTAGGGGACCGATACAGCCGTCTGCAGTGCGGGAAGAAATGTAGCATTCATGCTACACACACATCACAATTGCTGCTACCAGACTCTTATTTACAGTATATTGCTTATACTGCACAATTTAAACACTTGCACCCCAATCCCCTCTTTCTCTGATACATGTGTAAATATTGAACTATAAATTGTGCCTTCCTAAAATGTTTGCTAAAATGTTTATTATATTCTACTGAGCCATTTACAATGGGCAATTTCAGCTTTATAAATATCTAGCCTAACAACTTATCAACCTAATACAACTACCACACATTGAACTACCCTGTCTGGTCCATGCACCTACAGTTTTAAAGTGATTTTCTATTGCAGTGCCCAATCATGCGCCAAAAAGTTTCCAAAAAGATGTCTTGTGAACCCCACCCATTTAAAAGACTTGATTCCCGCCCCCCGTGTGCACTCAGGACCAACACTTCCCTTCTCTCGTATTGTACTGTCATGGGACTGATCAAGTGCAGGACACAACCATGGTTATTAGTCTACTCTCTGTGGTAGCCAGCAGACGGTTTTGCTTTAGTCACAAATGCGTATGGACTAACACTTCAATTTACAACTATGCAGTTGAATGTATGTGAGAACTACGTCTAGTAGGTATACCCAGACCTAGGAGAATGAACTCATTTTGGGGAAATGCAACTCATGGACGGGACCCTGACAACCGCAGGTTTACTGTAAGTGTTTTTTTTTACGCATATAAAGTGTTTTACACATCAAGTTAAAGTGATCGGTTCCGATTTGCAATAACACCTGACCCAGCTACCTCTGCGGATTGGTAGTGCTCATGTCTACCTATTCATATTGACATTCATGCAGTTTGTCAAGGTATTCAACAAACAACTCCAGACAAGACGCACACCTGCGCTTGTGCGTCTACAAGTTTGAATCCACTGTATTTTCCTACCTAGAAACAATGAATCTATTTGAACTGACTTGCGTTTCTCTCCTGGTGAAGGTGGAGGGTTGTCCCAGCGGAGAGTCGCCGTTCCCTCTTGATCTGAATTCCAGGAAAATACTTCACTCATCGGAGTACGCGCGGTGTAACAGCCGGCCACCACCCGAGGGCGCTGGGTCGGTGACCGTCTCCGAGTCGGAGAGAAGGGACGGAAAAGGAAGCTTTTGCCAACAATGTCAAATTAATGTGACTGAGCTGAAGAGGCAAGCGCTGGCCTTGGCAGACCCAAGTTCACTAAAGGTTTGTGAATAAATGTTTAACTTTACTTTGAGTCTCAAGTGCTGGTTGTATTTGACCAATAATGCAAAGTAATACTTTTCATCAATTTTACACCAAGGCTACCTAGTTTATCAACCTGAATTGACACCACCATGACTCTGCTGATCTGTGCTGTTGGTTGATTTTTGTGAATATTGCAATGACATGGTAATAACCTTTTCTTTCCTCCCCCCACTTGAAATAAGTCCAGTGAGGTGGGTCTTATGTTTATTATGAGGCAGGTGGTAATGGGAGATGAGTGTGTGTTTGTTCACCTCATACTCTGTTGGCGTAAAACAGGGACAGGCTGCCTTGGTTTCACTCATGTACAGCAGGTGATATAGGGGCACAGATGGCATGCTAAGAATAAAGCTTGTTGCCACCCTCCTCCTAGTGTAGTTAGCAGTGTATGCATACAGTGTGATTCTGCAGGTTTCTGACAAAGTCAAGAGTCATGACCTATGCCCCAGCTTTGCCTTGTGGTCCTCATCACTGATGGGCACCTTTCTGATGGTTTTACGTTTGTACCCACTGCCCATGTGCCTATGATATAGTCCAGTGCGATGGGTACACAACGGCAGGGTGAGACATGGCTGTAAGACTTGTGAGGTCTGTATTCCCAGCATGTAGTAGCTGTGGCTATAACTCCCCATACCAACACACCTTATTATAGAGCTGCAGTTGTCCTCTGGCTGGGTGTAGAGATAATACATATCAAGTCCTTCTCCTCTGTGGATACTGGAGTCATGAGAGGCTGTGGGGTATTGACTCCGATTATAATGTCCCAGTCTTCCTGTGAAGTCTTATTTCTCTGCTCACGGCCACACGCTGTTCATGGATGTGAAAACTCAGCATCTGAAACTGAAAGGTCTTTGGAAGTGGCTCATTGTTTTGCTAAACAATGCTTATCTCTTTATTTTGTTGTTGGGGAGAGGGGTGGGGGGGGGGGGGGGGGAGGAGGGGAGAAAAATAGGCGAGCGGCGGAGTCTGAGGAGGAAGTTAAGTCCCAATTGACCTTCGCCATGCATTGAAAGTGTTCCTGTATGGCTCGCCCTACAATTCCCACCGCTGTTAAATATAGGCCCTCAGACTTTTTGTTGTTGTCACTTCTGCGTGAGTTTGCCCCAGGGTTTCTTCTCCTTTGTTGCCATGTTGGAGGGATGGTCTCATGCTTAGCTTGGATTACAAGCCCTCCAGCCTCCTCTGAACCCCCTCAACACCTCATTTCTTATGGGAACAGGGAGATAAGGGACGGGGAAAAACTTTTTTGAGGAATTTAACTTCTGTTTTTCTGTATGTGTGGTCAGTCTCTCTGTGGGGGTGGCCTAAATCATATCAGATCTCTATATATTGAAGCATCAGGTAAGTCCCCCCTCCCCCAACAGACATACTCTATCCCACCTGCCAGTCCTTCTCCATGGGAACTGAGTCCTCCCCTCTCAGTTACCTGTGTGGTCCTCTCCAGGTGTGGAGGGGTTGGAGGGTGGGATGGGGGCTGCCCCTTCCTTCTCCCATTATGCACATGTTGATGGCTAAATTGGGCCCTAATACTAAGGTGGTAAACAGCCAAGGCGTGGTGCTCTTAATGTGCTTGCCTCATGGTATCAATTTCTCCAGCTGCAGGAGAAAGGGCTCCATTGTCCTGTCGGGCCTGTGCTGCCCACCTGGAGGCTCTGGACTGGATGTGGTTGTGGATGGATGGCTTTCACCTTTGGTGGAAGAGGGCTAGGTGATGTGTGGTGGAAAGATTGCTGTACTGGGTTGTTGGTGATCCTGGCGTCAGAGCTACAGAGTTCTGCTGTACCTGTCATGGTGGATGGGTGCCATCTGAGTTTACCTTGGGAAAGTGAGAGCCTAGGCTGTTTATGTGAGGGCTTTCCCCTCTCCCTACCCTATCCTCCTGCCGTCCCGTTTTTGTGATGAGGAAGTCAGCGTGCCCCATAGACAATCTCCCCCCCCCCCCCCCCCTGCTTCCAGTAGACTTATTTTTTTGAGTACAGTAGCAGTAACAGCCAACAGATAAATTCAAGGAAGACAGGTTTGGGTTGAATGAGTGTGCTATGCTGAATCCCTAGGCAGGGGCTGGCTTGGGAGTCTTCACTGGGAAATACACAGACACAGTGAACTGCCTCAGAAGTGGATTTTGTGTTATCCTGTTTGTCTTTCAAAGAATCCTCTCAGGTCAGTCTAATGTTGTTATGACTCATTGGGGAACTTGGAGAGCTCCTGTTCTCACTAGTGTCTCTATGCTCTGGGCCACTGGCTCAGTGTCAACCTGAAGGAGCTCAGAGTAGCAGCAGCCAGCAGACAGTACAGCTGGACTGGGAGGGAGACGGTTGCTGCAGTGCTGTGAGGTGTTGTCAAGGGAAACGCAGGGTCAGCATTAGAACAATGAAGGTGACAGATTATTTTCTTTATGGTCTGCTGCAGCTTGCACATCCAGTGACAGCAATTAGTATTTTTTCACGCTCGTCGACTTTAAGTACCTGTCTCATTTTCAGAGGAGCAGTTCCCGTGTCCCCCACGTCTTTTGTTTTAATATTTATAGCTGGCATGTGCTTTGTCTGACATCACCCATACCACTTCACCTCACTTAATGCAGCCAATCACGTAATACCTACTAATCTTAATACAATATGTCAAGTCTCAACTTAGAGTAATACTAAAGCTTAACTCTGTCATGATGGAGTTTTGTCCTTGAGGTAAGACCCTGCTCTAAAGTAAAATACAGTGACTTGGACATACATTAACCAGACATTGTTAGACAGCAGAGCATTAAAGAAGCCCTGGGAGAATGGGTTTTGCTTAAGAGGCAGCTGAAGTGGAGACACTCTGAGTTTCTGCAGAATTGATTCTCACCCCCAATCAAAGGCATTCACCCGGTTAATGTACAGTATTTGATTCATATCATTAAAAACTAACAAGCAACTTCAATGGTAAATGGCAGACAGTCTGGATGACTACAGCAGAAATTACACACTATATTTCATGTGGCTGGACATGATGACAAGGTGAGGTATAATAGGGGGAAAGATGATCACTTAAAGGCTAACCTCAGGTTCAAAGCACTAAATAACCCTCTCCCGTAATCAGAGTATCTGTCAACATTCAACATGCCTATAGAAAGACCATACCTGTACACCTGGCTCAGATCCACCCGCACTTAATGAACAATACCCCCCTCCTACACTCCTTCAGATGGTTTCTGCCCTGAAAGGGTTACTCAATATTTTGGCCGTGCCATGTGATGGATTGGGAGGAGGAAGGTTTGTTTTGTCTGCACTGTCAGCCATCTCATGAAAAGTTAAGGAGCTGTCAGTGACAACAATGGGCCATTGGGTTTCTATAGGCCCTCAGCCATGGCCAGGCAGCAGCATCTGAAGCCCCTGGTCTAGACATGCTGACAGTTACTTGATATGGTGGTTGAAATGAGTATTCTCCCTCCCTATCTCTGACTATCACCCAAACCTTGAAAGAGAAGAAATGGCTCAGCGAAGGAAAACCAGCCAGGCTATTGTTTGTTAGGTATACAAGCTGGTGTATCGACACTCTGCTTTCAAAGCATGCATCCTTGAAGCACCTTGTGAAGCAAAGTTTATAGTTGATGAAACACATTGTACAAAGAAAGAATGTCCCTTAGAAACGTTCCTTCATGTTTTCCTTCTACTTTGTTTGTATTCTCACTGCGTTCAATGTAAGAGCATTGTAAGTTAACCAATATATTCATTGGTAGAACGTTTTTGATTCCAGTCGCTTCCATTGTGCATGTTTAGAAATGTGTCTTTGTGTGTGTGTGTGTGTGTGTGTGTGTGTGTACTGTATGTCTTTGTTTTTGGTACAGCCAGAGCCAGTACCAGTGTGAGTTTATGCAGGGTTGTTCTGATGGCTGGAAGAGATAAATAGATATTGTGTTATGACTGCATCAAGGGTACAGGTCAGTCAAACAAGCACCATAGCCTACACCCACACATACAGTGCCTTGGGAAAGTATTCAGACCCCTTGGCTTTTTCCACATTCTGTTACGTTACAGCTTTATTCTAAAATGGATTAAATAAAAAAAATGCCCTCATCAATCTACACACAATACCCCATAATGACAAAGTGAAAATAGGTTTTTAGAAAGTTTAGCAAATGTATAAAAAATAAAAAACAGAAATACCTTATTTACATAAGTAAGTATTGCTATGAGACTCGAAATTGCACTCAGGTGCATCCTGTTTCCATTGATCATCCTTGAGATGTTTCTACAACTTGATTAGAGTCCACCTGTAGTAAATTCAATTGATTGGACATGATTTGGAAAGGCACACACAGTGCATGTCAGAGCAAAAACCAAGCCATGAGGTCGAAGGAACTGTCCGTAGAACTCTGAGACAGGATTGTGTCGAGGCATTTCTGCAGCATTGAAGGTCCCCAAGAACACAGTGGCCTCCATCATTCTTAAATGGAAGAAGTTTAAAACCACCAAGACTCTTCCTAGAGCTGGCTGCCCGGCCAAACTGACCAATCGGGGAGAAGGGCCTTGGTCAGGGATTATGTCCAAATTAGAGATTTTTGTGAGACGCGGTGTAGGTGAATGGATGATCTCCGCATGTGTAGTTCCCACCGTAAAGCATGGAGGAGGAGGTGTTATGGTGTGGGGGTTCTTTGCTGGTGACACTCTCTGTGATTTATTTACAATTCAATGTACACTTAACCAGCATGGCTACCACAGCCTTATGCAGCGATACGCCATCCCATCTGGTTTGGGCTTAGTGGGACTATCATTTGTTTTTCAACAGGACAATGACCCAACTCACCTCCAGGCTGTGTAAGGGCTATTTTACCAAGAAGGAGAGTGATGGAGTGCTGCATCAGATGACCTGGCCTCCACAATCCCCTGACCTCAACCCAATTGAGATGGTTTGGGATGAGTCGGACCGCAGAGTGAAGGAAAAGCAGCCAACAAGTGCTCAGCATATGTGGGAACTCCTTCAAGACTGTTGGAAAAGCATTCCAGGTGAAGCTGGTTGAGAGAATGCCAAGAGTGTGCAAAGCTGTCATCAAGGCAAAGGGCAGCTATTTGAAGAATCTCAAATATAAAATATATGTTGTTTTGTTTAACACTTTTTTGGTTTCTACATGATTCCATATGTGTTATTTCATAGTTTTGATGTCTACACTATTATTCTACAATGTAGAAAATAGTAAAAATAAAGAAAAACCCTTGAATGAGTAGATGTGTCCAAACTTTTGACGGGTACTGTATTTTGCTACTTGTAAGCTACTGTCTGTCATTTGCTGATCCGTCATCAGTATTGTGAAATTATTCTAATGTTATGGAAATATTTTAATGGAGAAAGCTGATCCGAGAGCAGCGCTCCCTTTCTTTCGATCTTATCAGTATCGACACATGTTCCAACGATGCACTTAGCGACCGTTCTCTCTGCGTAGTGTTTTGGGAAAAGCATGTTAGGAAAGATGCATCGTTAAACACTCGTAAGTTCCTTCGCAATCGGGAAACCTGGCTCTGGTCAAATAAAACTCTTAGGACCAATGTACAGGTGTGTGAGATTGCTTGGTCAATGTTTGACTTGAGAATGTGCATGTAATATATTTGTAACATTGTCATGCAATTTCTCACCTTCTTGGATTTCTTTTTTTAATTTAATTTAATTTAATTTCACCTTTATTTAACCAGGTAAGCCAGTTGAGAACAAGTTCTCATTTACAACTGCGACCTGGCCAAGATAAAGCAAAGCAGTGCGATAAAAACAACAACACAGAGTTACATATGGGGTAAACATAACATAAAGTCAAAAATACAACAGAAAATATATATATAGTGTGTGCGAATGTAGTAAGTTATGGAGGTAAGGCAATAAATAGGCCATAGTGCAAAATAGTTACAATTTCGTATTAACACTGGAATGATAGATGTGAAAAAGATGATGTGCAAATAGAGATACTGGGGTGAAAATTAGCAAAATAAATAACAATATGGGGATGAGGTAGTTGGGTGGGCTAATTTCAGAATGGCTGTGTACAGGTACAGTGATCGGTAAGCTACTCTGACAACTGACGCTTCAAGTTAGTGAGGGAGATAAGAGTCTCCAGCTTCAGAGATTTTTGCAGTTCGTTCCAGTCATTGGCAGCAGAGAACTGGAAGGAATGGCGGCCAAAGGAGGTGTTGGCTTTGGGGATGACCAGTGAGATATACCTGCTGGAGTGCAGACTACGGGTGGGTGTTGCTATGGTGACCAGTGAGCTAAGATAAGACAGGGATTTGCCTAGTAGTGATTTATAGATGACCTGGAGCCAGTGGGTTTGGCGACGAATATGTAGTGAGGGCCAGCCAACAAGAGCGTACAGGTCACAATGGTGGGTAGTATATGGGGCTTTGGTGACAAAACGGATGGCACTGTGATAGACTACATCCAATTTGCTGAGTAGAGTGTTGGAGGCTATTTTATAAATGACATCGCCAAAGTCAAGGATTGGTAGGATAGTCAGTTTTACGAGGGCATGTTTGGCAGCATGAGTGAAGGAGGCTTTGTTGCGAAATAGGAAGCCGATTCTAGATCTAACTTTTGATTGGAGATGCTTAATGTGAGTCTGGAAGGAGAGTTTACAGTCTAACCAGACACCTAGGTATTTGTAGTTGTCCACATAGTCTAGGTCACATACCCGCCGAGAGTAGTGATTCTAGTTGGGTGGGCGGGTGCAAGCAGCGTTCGGTTGAAGAGCATGCATTTAGTTTTACTAGTGTTTAAGAGCAGTTGGAGGCTACGGAAGGAGTGTTGTATGGCGTTGAAGCTCGTTTGGAAGTTTGTTAACACAGTGTCCAATGAAGGGCCAGATGTATACAAAATGGTGTCGTCCGCATAGAGGTGGATCCGAGCGTCACCAGCAGCAAGAGCGACATCATTGATATACACAGAGAATAGAGTCGGCCCGAGAATTGAACCCTGTGGCACCCCCATAGAGACTGCCAGAGGTCCAGACAACAGGCCCTCCGATTTGACACATTGAACTCTATCTGAGAAGTAGTTCTCTGTAGCTCAATTGGTAAAGCGTGGCGCTTGTAACGCCAGGGTAGTGGGTTCGATCCCCGGGACCACCCATACGTAAAAATGTATGCACACATGACTGTAAGTTGCTTTGGATAAAAGCGTCTGCTAAATGGCATATTATATTATTATTATTATAGTTGGTGAACCAGGCGAGGCAGTAATTTGAGAAACCAAAGCTATATAGTCTGCCAATAAGAATGCGGTGGTTGACTGAGTCGAAAGCCTTGGCCAGGTCGATGATGACGGCTGCGCAGTACTCTCTTTTATCGATCGCGGTTATAATATCATTTAGGACCTTGA